CAAGGAATAATGAAGTCACGTGTGTGTCCAGCGATTTTGGGCTGACCTTCAAATGGGATGGGCTGAGTGAGGTTAATTTAGGCAAAAACAAAGCAAAAGGAATTCAGCCCAATAACACAAACAACAAGGCTTCTAAATGGGTTCACAATGTTATTAAAGGGAATAAAAGAGATTTAAAGTAGGTAGTAGGATGAGGATCAAAATTAGCACAGATATTGGGCTTGCTAATAATGTTAGACAACTCACATCAGGAAAAATTTATTCTCTTAATCGTAATATCTGGATCAATTCGAATTCTGAAAGAGAAAATCCAGCTCCAGAAATTCTCCATATCTCTTCCACCCTTCAGATTGATAACAGGAAACCTCCTGATCTAAATTACTCTCCTACATCTGTACCAGAAACTCAATTTAATGAGGATGCTCTAATAGAAAATCACAATCAAGTTTTGAGACTGGATAATCCTCTTAATGATCTTGATCAAGCTGGCATAGAGGATGATATTTCGGATGATGATCTTCTTAATGAGGAATATGATCAGCCAATCCATAATGATAATTATGAAGATGATGATTTTAGTGATGATCAGATTGAGGACTCGCAGAACTTCGAGAGGCTTAAGCTTCTTTCGGGTTTTTCTATTCCTATTTCTTATGGATTTAATCTACTAGAATTGTAGAGGTACATGTACTAAAAGTTTTCCTAAGCATATAAAAGATATTACTAAATCTTTTAATACTCAAATTCTTCTTTTACTTGAGACTAGAGCTAGTAGTATTAGAGCTGATTCCATTGTTAGGAAGCTGGGATTTTTGGACTGGATCCGTGTGGAAGCTACTGGTTATGCTGGCGGTATCTGGCTTCTTTAGAATAATGATTTTGTTGACATTGATTATATTTATTCTAATGTCCAATTGTTACACTGCAGGGTTAATATTTTAGCTAATAATCAATCTTTTTTACTTTCTGGTGTTTACGGAGATCCTAATCCTCTTCATCGGGATCTTCTTTGGTAATCTATCAGTTCTCTTGCTACTAATATTTTTGATCCTTAGCTCATTATTGGAGACTTTAATTCCTACCTCTCTTATGATGATAAAATTGGTGGGGGAAGTGTCAATTAGAGATCCATGAAACAGTTCAAGCAATGCTTAAATTCTTCCAATCTTCTTGAACTTAACTTCTCTGGCGATAGATTTACCTGGAAAAAAGGCAATGTTAAGGAACGACTTGATTGGGCTTTTTGCAACACTGAAGGGAGGCTAAAGTTTCCCCAAGCCAATTCTTTTCATATGCTTCGTTATGGTTCTGACCATTGCCCGATTAGAATCCAATTACTCAAGGAGCCTAAAAAGAATATTAATTCTACACCTTTTCGTTGCCACACTGCTTGGATGCTGGAAAATTCCTTCCACCCTGTGGTTAAAGAAGCTTGGTTAAACAATGATTGGAAGAATAGTAACATAAACTTCACAATACAGCTACCGAATGGAACAAAGAGAGAATTGGTAGTATCTCTGCTAAAAAGAAAAAACTTCTACGAAGATTGGAAGGTGTTGACAGAAACAGGAATCACAAAGATGATTATTTCCTTAGGAAACTGGAAAAATCTCTCTGGGAATAATATAACAAAGTTCTCTTACAAGAGGAGCTGATATGGTTCAAAAGTCTAGGTACAAGTGGCTTAATTGGGGAGATCAAAACACTAAATTCTTCTACACCACATCCATTATCAGAAGGAAAAAAAACCAGATTTTAATCTCTTAAATAGGATGATGATAATTGGGTCGAGGATCAAAATTCCCTCAAAATCATGGCTGCCTCCTTCTATGAAGATCTCTTCAAGGAGGAATATGAGGATAGACCCAAGCTTATCACTAATATCAGCTTTCCCCCACTCTCTGATTTTGAACTCCTTATCCTACACAGAGAAGTGACTGGTGATGAAATTAAAAATGCCGCCTTTACTATTGCCCCCTTTAAAGCTCCTGTGCCTGATGGTATCAATGCTGGCTTTATTCACTCTTATTGGGATGATCTTAAAGTTAGCATAATAAACCTTGTTAAAGGAATTTTTAGACAACCTGATTTTATCAAGGAGATTAATGACACTTATATTACTCTGATTCCTAAGATTGACTATCCCACTATTATGAAAGATATTCGTCCCATTTCTCTCTGCAATGTTAGCTACAAGATTATCACTAAAATTCTCTCTAACCTTCTATGTGAATATATGAATCATCTAATGGGTGACACTCAAAGTAGCTTCATACAAGGATGAGAAAAGCAGTGATAATATTATCATCGCCCAAGAGATTATCCACTCTATGTGGAATAAAACTAGGAAGAAAGGCTTTATGGCGATTAAAGTTGATCTCGAAAAAGCTTTTGATAGACTATCCTGGAGCTTCATTGATGATACTTTCAAATCCATTGGGATGAATAATCACTATAGGAAACTTATTTATAATGTTATCTCCACATCTCGCTTGAGGGTCCTTTGGAATGGTGAACCATCTCACGAATTCACTCCTTCTCGTGACATCCGTCAGGGGGATCATCTTTCTCCCTATCTCTTTGCTCTTTGTATTGAACACCTTAGTCATTGCATACTTAGTAGTATTGATAAAAATGATTGGAAACTAATTAGGCTAACACCTAACGGGCCTCCTATTTCTCACATGTTTTTTGCTGATGATCTTTTGCTTTTTACATAAACATATCTCTCACAAGCTCTTATTGTTCAGCAATGTCTTTTAGACTTCTGTGATGCTTCCGGTCAGAAGATCAACACTGGGAAATCTAAACTCTTTTGCTCCAAAAATGTTAATATTAACAGAGCTTTACAAATCAGCAATGAATTAGGAATCCCTCTTATTGGCAACCTTGGAAAATATTTGGGTATTCCTATTATCCATGAGAGGATTACTAAGCTTACCTTTATGCCCTTTCTTGATAAAACTTATTCGCGTCTTGGTAACTGGAAGAATCGCTACCTTAACATAGCTGGGAAATCTGTTCTCATAAAATCTGTACTTGTAGCTATTCCCAGCTATACCATACAGACTATGCTCTTACTTGATAATGTCTTGGTCGAATTGGATAAAATTTCTAGAAACTTTCTTTAGGACTCTACTGATGGGAACAAAAAGCCCCACCTTCTATCTTAGGATTGTGTTACTTCTGGAAAAAAGGAGGGGCCTTGGTCTCAAAAAACTCAAGAATTAAAATATCACTTTTATAATGAAGTTATGTTGGGGTCTCATTACTACACTCGATAGTCTTTGGGTACGAATCATTCATGATAAGTACAACTACAGTAAACCTACTATTCCAATGGTGATCAAACCGAACTCTTGCTCCTATACTTGGAATAGTATATGCAAAATTTGAGATGTCTTCCTATCGCACATTAGTTGGAAAATTGGTAAAGAAGATAAAATCTCCTTTTGGTATGATAAATGCACTTCTCTTCCTGAACCTTTGGTTTATCATGCCTTTAATAACGCTGAGTCTATCCTTCACGCCAGAGTATCTGATTTGTGCAAGACTAATGGTGGATGAAATTTTGACATTATTAACAAATATCTCCATCATGATGTAGTCAAACACATCGCTCATATCTGACCTCCGAATTAGTCTAGTGGGGAGGACATACTTATTTAGAGACCTTCTTCTGACGGCAATTTCTCTATCAAATCGGCCTATAAAGCTATGGAGGACCACAAATATTAAAACTACTCACATATCTAGTCTACAATTTAGAAATGGCCTACTTATGAGAAAATCAAATTTGTTCTCTAGAAAGCTAGTTGGGATCGTCTCAAAGTCATGTTCAATTTTTCTGATAGAAATAACCAATAGCAATGCACTTGCCCATTCGATTGTAACTCCCTTGACTCTTCCATTCATATTCTAAGGGATTGTAAGGTAGCTAAAGAGGTTTGGGAAAAATTGGTAAGCCCTAATAAATTTAACACTTTCTTCTCTCTTTCCATACAGGACTGGATTCTTTAGAACGTAAAAAATGAAGTTGGAAGCACATCCACAAAGAGATTGCCTTGGAAGAAACTCTTTGCACAAACCTACTGGAATATATGGAAAGCAAGATGCAAGAAGGCCTACTCTGAGGAAAATAAATTGAATAGTGATATAGCTTTCACTAGTACGCAACAAATCATCCATGACATGAAGCTGCAATCCAAAGTTAATCTTCTGAGCAATCATGGCTATCGTGATACAACTAAGTGGATCTCACCAAAGCCGGGATGGGTTAGACTAGATGTCGATGGCTTTGTCAACCTTAACAGAGTTGCGGCTTGTGGTGGACTTATTAGAGATGATAAAGGCAACTGGGTTAAAGGTTTTTCTAAAAGCATTGGCTATCTTCCTAGCACTATTGCAGAGCTAATAAGAATCTTGGAAGGTCTCAAACTTTGCTGGAATGCCCAGATCCCTAAAGTCAACGTTTACTCTGACTCTATGGAGGCCTTATCTCTCATTAACTAGAGCAATACTCATAATCACCCTTATTCAGTCATCATCAGAAGCATAAGAGATATTACCATGCGTAATTGGGAGATAACTTTTGAGCACGTTTTCAGAGAAGCTAATAGATGCGCTGACCTTATGGTACACAAGGAGTCACCGAATAATCTCAATATTTGTCTTTTTGATATACCGCCAATTGATTGTATAAGTCTTATGGCTTCTGACCTTACTTGATCCCGGTCCTGCACGGTTTTACCGTGGCCTTTTATTCAAAAAAAAAATCAGTTAGTAGAAAATTTGTAGGTGTTTGGTTGTTGGCCCAAAAAGAATGGAAATTCAGATCCACTGAAAAAAAAAAAGAGCGGAAATTTTGGGAGTTATGTAGAAATAGAGAACAATTTCGCTCCGGTAATCTTTTTTTTTTTTTTTAAAATAAAAAACACATTGCACTTGGGTCAGAAGCAAGGGACAAATGAGCGTGGAAAGATGCCAAACGACACCCCTCCGTTGCCGTTTCCGATTTGATTTCAAAAGGCTCAAGTGATCGTCGACCCTCCAGATCTCCAGATCGGAGAACCTTGGTCTCTCTTGGCATCGGCCGTTCGGTCGTTCCGTCAGCTCTCTTGCTGCCTCTCTCTCTGGGCCGCCGTCGTTATCCGGCCGGTAAAATTGTCTTCCCTTTCTCCCAATTTCTGCGATTACTTTCTCCATTTCTCACTTTCCTAACCGAGAAAAATCTGCGTGTCAAGCGCAATCATAAAACGTCTCAAACTTGGAAGGTCTATGCTTTTATTCGAAACTGACCATTTTTTTATGCTCTCTTCAATTTTATTATTTCAAATGCTCTAGGGAAAATGGAAGAATTCGAACAGTGGAAAGAACAATTTGCTTACTGGTGGCGTCTGGGTTTGGAATTTCTTCGTCAGATTCCTCCGGAACAGCTGTATGCTGCTGCTGCTGTATTGGCATTTACAACCATACTACTTCTGTTGAGTGAGTGTTTACATTCCTATATTGTTGCGTTGTTCCTCATAATTACTGATTCTTTTTAATGGACAGTGTAGTCTTGGTTCGTGTGTGCTTTTCTTTATGTATAATATTGCTCATTTTGATCAATTTAGAATGATGACTGATTTTGCCATTGTTATGTGTTATTTTGTAGTTCGTTTATTTAAACGTGCAAAGTCTAATACCGTTGTACTTACTGGCTTGAGTGGGAGCGGGAAAACTGTTCTGTTCTATCAAGTAAGCTCCAAATGACATTCTTGAATAATACTCATCATGTTGGCTCCTCAACTCATTGTATTTGGTTGGCATATCTGGATGCATTTGCTATGAATACTTGACATTAGTAGTTCATTTACATTTTTTTATGGGCACAGACTAGAAACATTCTTTGCTTGATTCTATCCTTCACATTAGCTTATGCCATTAAATGATTGGATATAGTCTTTCGTCTAGAGAAGTATGGTAGAATATTCTCCTTTTCCTTTTTTAGTCATCATCTTGTTAGTTGTTGAGGTTATTGATTTCTTACACCTTTCATAGAATATTTATTTACATACAGTGTGCAGGCAATGCTCTGCATTTCTGCTGCTGACACAATGTTTTGGATGTATTTTTTATACTTGTGTCAGCTTAGGGATGGCTCTACTCATCAGGGCACTGTTACGTCAATGGAACCTAATGAGGGCACGTTTGTTCTTCATTCTGACACAACCAAGGTACGACATTAAACGTTTGAGTGGAGGGTGCAAGTTTATTCTTTCTTGTTGACTTTTCTATATTTCATTCGCCATTTTTTGGGGTGAAATTTTATTTGCCAATTTATATTTTTATAGTATTAGTATATAGTTTAAATGAAATGTTTTCCTTTGAACTTTTGAATTAACCCAAACGAGATTAATTCAATAACAAGATCCTGACTTTTCTTCTCCTAAATTTGTTAAGAAATTTGAATCTAAATGGGTCATGTAGCAATTTCACTAAAACACAAGGGCATTATTTAATACCCATTCAGTATATATACATATATGCAGCATAACAAAGATCCAATTAGAAAACAAAAAAATACATCTTCACTCAACAACATCATAATGTGAAAAGAAAAAAAAATATAAAAGTGAGGGAGAAATAAAAAAGATGGAGAAAATTAAGAATGGGACCTTGGCAAGTGGCATGGTTCTTACTTTGAAAGTCGATTTTTAAAGTTTGATTTCCTATATGCTTGTTTGGGTCTCTATCATAGACCTTATTATCTATAATTTTTAGAGGACACCTTTTTTCCTTCTAAATAGAGGAAACATTGCTTTAAGATTGGAATGGTAAAATGGTGGAATTTATATATTGTTTTTTCCTTCATTGATTGTGGAATTATAACACTAGAACAACTATTGTTCCTGTTTCCTTAACAGAAGGGTAAAATAAAGCCTATTCATCTTGTTGATGTGCCTGGGCATTCTCGTCTTCGGCCCAAACTGGATGAATACTTGCCTAAAGCAGCTGGCATAGTTTTTGTGGTTGATGCTTTGGAATTCTTACCAAACTGCCGTGCTGCATCAGAGTAATTCCCCCTACCTCTATTGTGGCAATGCTACTTTGTGTGCAGATTATTTTTACATCTTCTTGTTGCTACTTTCTGAATTATCATCTTTACAAAAGGTTTCATCCTTAATGTCAATTGTAGTATGCAGCTAGTACCTGTAAGGATTCTAACACTTTCTTTATTCTCTGAAGGTATCTGTATGATATTTTGACTAAGGGAAGTGTTGTGAAGAAGAAGATCCCTTTGCTTATTCTCTGCAATAAAACTGACAAAGTCACTGCTCATTCTAAGGACTTTATCCGCAGACAGATGGAGAAGGAGATGTATTACTTCAAATCCCAACTCCTTGATGCTACTCAATTGATCTTTGATCAGTTACTTTATAGTGCTGCTTTTTAAAGCAGTTAGCATACTTTAGTTTGGCACAAAATGAGACCAGGGTAGAGTTGGATAATTTAAAAAAAAAAAATTGGGGAAAAGCATTTTTTTATTTTTGAGCTAGGGGGATGAAATTAACTTCTGTAAAACTAGAAGGACCAAAAGTGCATTTGAACCTTGGAGTTTGCACGTACCATCACCTGGTGATGATATCTTTTTCTTTCACTGCGAAATCAAACCCCTTAATTAGATGGAGATTTTAGAGGGAATCTAATGCTTCTTTCCATATCCACTAAGTGCTTTTTATTGTTAATCTTTGTAGATTCTTTCATTTATTTTTTCACTCAGAATCAAAAGACTTCTTTGTTCTCATCTAAACTACATCTGACATTTGTTTAATTTTCCTGCGACTGTACTTTTTTAATCTTCACTTGGCTTTTGTTATCCTTATACAGTGATAAATTACGGGCATCAAGAAGTGCAATATCAGATGCTGACGTAACTAATGAGTTTACCCTTGGGGTTGATGGTGAACCATTTTCTTTTTCCCAGTGCTATAACGAAGTTACAACTGCAGAAGCTTCTGGTTTAAATGGTGAGATATCTCAATTGGAACAGTTTATCAGAAAATATGTGAAACCTTAGCTGGATATTTAATTTCAATGTATGAACTGGCGTGGGTTGGTCTGCTTGGTTGTTAGAACTTGGAAGCCTTTCAATTTTTCTTGTAATTGGCAAGAAGGAAGGGAAGTAGTAAAGTAGAGGAGGATAAAATAGGAGGGAATATGGGTAGAGAAATGTTGGGATCAATGAAGATCCAGCGGATGGGAACTCCTGGTGTATGATCGGATATAATCCCACTGATTGCACCATGATTTGAATTTGGATGATTTATCTTGTCTAAGTGGCATTTTGATCTGTTGGCTGTCCTCTACTTGTATGCTTAGTGATATTCTTGGCACTTGCATTCTATTCATTTCTTGGGTCAGATTAGTCCTGTCTCATCTGTTCAGCTTCATTTTCACATTTGGTGAGTTTGGACTTTGGACATGATGTAAAGTTCCTGGAATTGGAAAATGATTCTTGTATAGGCCCTCCCTCCTGAATGCGGATCCCATTAATGTGAGTTACCTCTCCTGAATTTTCTGAAGTGACACATTATTACTGCTGGTTTGTTCTCTCTTTCTTTTTTTCTTTTTAAATGAAATATGGATAACATTAATCCGAAGAAGCTGAAACAAAGTTAGACACATCAAAGTCAAAATGGAGACACATTTCTCATCATCCACCATCTCGTCACAATAAGGTGGGAGAAAGAGTAAAATGAATTAGTTTAAAAAAAAAAGGGCATTGCTAAGCTAGCAAATGGGCACAATAGTTTGCCTCTCTAAACATGAAATTCAAAGAAATATAACAACTCTAAAGCAGTAAAAACTTGGCTCGATCAATGATATCTTGAAAGGATGATTATCAGCATCAGCTTGGATGAGAAGATTTATAACTTCAACGCAACCAGCAAAGACTTGCACATGTTGAAACCCTGACCGAAAGCTTAGCTCAAGTCCTTGAAAGATGCTAGCAATCTCTGTAATTGCTGGAGGGTAATTACCTATGTTTGAGTTGAAACTCACTACCCACTCAGTATCGCGAAACACCCCCTTTAAAGGAGCCGTTCACATCCAATCTTACTCTTGTTTCCCCAGAACAAAACCAATGGGCAAGTACGGATCTTGGTGATTTTGAGGAATGCTCTTTTGGAGGTTGTCTCCTTTCGCAATTCATTCATTCAATTCAACAGATATTGTAACCCAACTGCTGCTTTGGTGACGTAATTCTTAATTTGAGTAATGGAATTCCCATTTTACCCAATTCAATAGATCCTGCCATTTGTCTCCCTCTGGAGAGTTTGATTTTTAAGATCCCCCACCCCCTCAACCCAAAAAATGATCAAAATTTAATTTATTTTCTTTTTAGAAAATCCAATCTTGTCATCCGATTTTTCACTTGGCCACTTGGGCAATGTTTGGCTTGAATGTAAATGAAAAATTCAACCATGTTTGTCCTCGCAAAAAAGGAATTCCACTCTCAGAAAAGATATAATGTAAGATGCACAAAATATACAATATTACAAAAGGAACAAAAAGAAACTATCCACAAGCTCTAAAAAATAGATACATCTTAAACTCAAACGAATTGAAACATCACCTCTACATACGTACGTACGTACAAATCTTCCCCTTCATCAATGCCTTTGTTGGACGAAAAAAAGTGCGCTCTAGTAAACACGCTATTTTGTTGGCACTAGTATAATAGTTATCTCGTATTATCAAGATCTAATATCTAAGACGGCTCAGCTAGGATTATTAATGTGTTCTTAATAATCTTGGAATGTGTTATTAACGGACAAACCGACAGGAATCAGGAAAAGCTCTTGACAACCAAGAGTGCTTCAACCTTATTATTAGAGCAAAGGCGCCATAGCATGGAATATGCAGCACACCCACAGCGAAGTACCTAATCCCAATAGGTCAAAATAATAAGCTCAATTAAACCAAAACTCATGGAACTAAATACTGCAACATTAATTCCAACAGCTTATTTCAAGGTTGTCATATTTCAGGGCCTTGAGTTGACCAGATCTAACCAACCACAAATTCCAGCTTCACTGGAAAATGTGCTTGCTTACTTATGTCTCTTTATGATTAGTTTGGTTCGATCTACCTGAGAAATTTTCTATCCTCACATCTTAAAAGAAAAGCATGCATAATTAGCGAAAACATTTATCTTTTGAAAATCTTTCTGGTAAAGCTCACGTGCAGCATTGGACTGTGTTCATTTGAATCAAGAGGCTGAAGCTAAAGCTAAAACAGAGTCAACAACATACCATAGAGGTGCATATGAGGATGACAAGTCAAGGAAAGGATAAGGCCACCTGTAACAAAGGTCAGCATATTGTAAACTTTAAGCCCAATCTTCTTCATGCACAAGCTATGATCAAAAGAAGGGAAGGGATAGGCGTTTTCACCAAATTGAAACACAAGCATGGATGATCCACTGAAAAACAACAAATATTGTCGTCCACAGGACAAAATATGCAAACCGAAACATCGGAAATCTCTGTATATGTCAACAGAAAATGGGTGTAAATTTGAGTTCGATGATCCAAGGAAAATATAAATCACCAGAAAGTTAAAACCAGACTCACCAAGCAATTCAATGATGTGTCCCCTAGGAGGAAAAGAGCATTAATGGAGTGCATACAAACAATCAACTGAAATTGAGAAGTTCAACTACATTCAGTTGAAAGGAAAATAAATCCTGTAGGTAGTAAAAGGACAGAATTTTGTAGCATATTTACCCTGTCTTCAGCCTAATTTTCTTGACCATTAAGAAAGAATGTTACACTAATACACTCATTCATCATATTTCATATGCTATTTGATATTGGACAGATGATGAAAAGAACAAAAAATATGATAAATAAAAGTTTGGAGCACTGCCCTCTCAAATTTAAGAAAAATATCAAGTGCTTTCATAGATATAACATGCAAAATGGTGACCAGACTGAGAAGCCATTTGAAAATTGAATGAAAATGTACACTTTAGTTTCAATCTTTTCTGTAAATTTAAAGATTGGAAGAAAGAGCACAGACTTTCTATTGACAATTTTATCTGTCTATTAAGCATAAAACTTGCCCTCCAAAAGGATAAATAATAATCAAGGCACAACAAAAATCATACTTACAAAATTCAGCCTGTAATCTTTGGATGTCAAAAACGGATAAATTATGAACCAGAACACAAAGTCAGTGAGCAAGACAGCACCTGCACAAGTCTGATCATTTGAAAGAAAAAAGAAGAAAACAACAATTAATTTCCTTGAGTTCAATCTAAAATAAACTCTTCAAAGCATTTAAAAACACATCAAACGCCAAAATGTATAACAGAAACCTCAGCATTTAATGAATAATTGGACTGCAGACAAGATGCCATAGAAGACATCCTAGGAGAACGACTAAATAGAGACTGTTTCACAGATTTTCAGCATTTTGCAAACTTCTGAGAGTTTTGGATGCTTTTCCACAACTCAACAGGCCCCAATTCAAACCCTTTGCTCTTTGCAAAACTAGAAATCATACTCAAACAACAAGGTGGTGTTTTCCTGGTAAGGATACAAAAGCTGCTCAGCATAAGCATACAGCTGAACTGCATATTACCTGAAGGAATCTGCCTTTTGAGCCATGGCAGAATCTTTCTTGCTTAGCATAAAGCAAAGACAACTGATCGGTAAGGATTCAGACAGTTTAAAACATATATCCAGTTTCTTTTATAAGTCCAACATCGAAAAAATAGTCAGAATTGCATGTTGACTATACACAATAATGGTTATTAGATATTGTTAAAGATTACAAAGAGGGACAATGGTTTAGTTAAATTTAAAAGATGAAATTATCATGTAATATAAAAAACCTGCATCAGTAAAATGAAAAGACGAGGAAACAGTTACCTGAAAAAGTATTTGAAAAATATAACCCCATAAACCAGCTGTTCTTGGAGCATGAGTTTCTTGATGGGAATGTGAACTCTTTGGAAAGTTAGACATATCTTCACTCCCCACATGCCTAGGAGCCACATAAATGCCTTGCTCTCTATCTAAATAAGAATGATTGACCGTGTCATCCACAAATTTGTTTGGGTAAATGAAACATCCAAATATGGAAAAACATGATCCAATCTACAGGTGAAATTGAGAACAAAAGTCAGTTATAGAATATATGAACTAAAATACATAAAAAAGGAAACTCCACAGATTAATTTTATGATTTAATTATCTGAATCAACATGTTGCATTAAATACCTTAGTCATAACTGCCCCCAAAATGGGGTTTGAGAAATAAATACAATTCTATGAAAGTTTCATGCTATGAACTTTTGGTACAATATGCAAGAGGCAATATGTGAAAAGCTTACCCCAAAGTATATGGTGACTAAAGTAAATGTCCACCTGCCAAGAAAAAGAAAAAAAGCGATTACATCATATTAGACTCCGCAGCTAAGATAAGCACTCTATTGTTGACATAATGGAACTGTTGTATATAGGATAAAGAAGCTATTGTTAAAAAATTCTGAAACTTGATCTATAGTAAAACAGGTTCAATTACACATGAACTTCCCTGAGTTTTGGTTTAAGAGTAGGAAATTCGCAAGCCTTCAAAATCTGATAACGAAACTATTTTGCTTATAAATTTGTACAGATAACCCTCCTTCCCTTTGGTAGTCTATTGTTTCAGTAATAGAATTTTGATATGTCATGTGGTTATTTGTAAATAACCCAAAGTTTTAGGATGTTATCGATATAAAAAATAAAGTTCACATTGCTTTGGTGTCCCTGATGAGCCATGCTTCTGTTTGATAATGAAATATCAGACTAATGACAGGGAGTTATAGGGGTAAATTGGAAAGTTTAAGGGTATTCATTGTCAAATTTTAAAGGTTGGGAGGTTATCCACACATAACTGAAAGTTCAAGATTGGTTTTGTATACAATTTAACCAAAATAATATAAAAGGCACACAAATAAACATAAAAACTTTCTAACTTGCTACCTTAAGGTAGTAATAAAACAAGAAAAGTTCAATTTTAACAAATGGAGCAATAAAGAATAATTTTCTTCTACATATTTTAAAGAGCATGATATATGGAAGCCTTGAGCAGGGTTTATTATTTCAAAAATTCCCATAATTTGTCTAGTCCATCTTATCATTGAGTAGATGCTAACAAGACTAAAATATACAGCTATGCGAGACAATGCAACTTACTGAGTGTAGAAGTAAAATATGCCCCCCCCAACAGCAGCCACGTTGGCAATGATCAATGCCAAAAGTACAAGAAAAGCAACTACTCTAAAAGCAAGCAGCCAAGCAGGATGAATTCCTCTAACACATGTCTGCCATGCTTCATCCTCATATAACAGTCCAGCTTCTTCTCTTTGATTTTCTCTCCTCTCATGTCTTGATTTATTGAATCCTTCATGCCTCCAAATTAAAAATGCTGCCAGAGACATAGAGATGAAAATCCATAGTGCACAGAGAAAGAACCTCCAATTTAACCAATAGCTTGGGTTAGTAGTATCGGCAGTCATGGTGGGTTGCCAAGTATGGCTTGAATATCCTGATAAGAAACTCATGAGTCACTTACAAATGCTTCAGAAAATGTCTTCCTGGGGTGATTTTTGATGCTCTATGTACTCAATTAAGCCTAGAAACCTCCCAAGTATGCATAAGCACGTGATAGAGTGACAGTTCAAGAAAAGCAGTGCAAGGTGAAGAAAAATTTTACAGATATCATTGAAGCGGAAAAATCGGGAGAGAAAGATGGCTATAATGACAGTAGAAAGAAAAATGTTCTTCCCACCAAAAAGAAAAAAGCAATAGTTGAGGCGCTTGAGTACATTTGAATCATAAAGTAGAAAGGAGATAACAGACAGCTAGGAGTCCACATAAATTTTGGGGAAAAACTAAGAATCAGTCAAGAACATCTCAAATTCTCAACTAACTCACCCCCAGAAACCACGAAGGAAAAAGGAGCCGATATCAAATATTTTGAAGAAACATATAAATAAACTTAATCAAGACCAACGATGCTTGAAGCATTGCAGGAATTAAATCGGGAACAAAACTACGAATTTAGAAAAATAAAACTTGAAAAATGCAGGACTTCAGGAAAGAAACGTATGACAGCTTCCCAACTAGCAAATGCTAATTATGGATTGCATGTTCAAGCTTGAATGTCTCCCAACACAAATGCAACCAAACAACTAGAATTAAAACAGAACTTTGTTATAACCATCCCTTTTCAGAACGAAAACACAAGTTGTGCAAGAGAAGGGACAAAACTAAGAGATCAGATTAAAAAAAAGCTTGCTCATTTATCAATCTATCTAAAACTCAGATTCCTTTCTTCGGATGGGTTTCACCCAAAGTCCCAAAAGTTCGTTGCCTCCGTAAAATGATTCTAAACAAGGAACAAAAACAAAAAGAGAAGGAAAGGAAAATGACGAACTTACTGTAACAAGTAAAACTCAGAGAAGAGAGGGGTCGATGTTAAAGGAAGATGCTTTGCTTCTTCCTTTTCGCTAGGAACGAAAGAGAGAGAGAGAGAGCCCAGAGAGTTGTGTGTACAGTTTAACCCGTAACGAATTTGCTTTGGGCAAAGAAGCAAATCCTACGTTTGTTTTGTGCGGAAAAAAATAAAGCAGCATCCTTTGCTGATATCAGAGAAGATTCAGGATCCCAGTGAAGACGGAACTCACTTTTCCTTGAAAATAGTATTATTTATGATTCCATGTCAACTTAGTTGCGTGTTCATAACGGACTTGATTATCATCATCATCATCATCATCATCATCATCATTATTGATCAATTGTCAATTTGGCTGTAGTTGGCAGCTATTTTTTGGCCTGGCTGTAGTTGGCAGCTTGAGCTCGTTATTACCATTATTCTTTTAGATTGGATGAGGTGAGGGTTGGAGCAGACGAATGGGAGCGAAGCAGAGCATGCAATGCAATTGTGGAGAACCATGGTTGCATTTGATTACAGGTGTTTTTTTTCTTGGTAGGAATGATTACAGGTTTTACTAACCTTCAATATCGTGTTGGGAGTTATTGGGAGTTATCAGAAATATATTAAAATATAGTATTTATTTAATATAAAATTTTAAGATTTGATATAATAATAAAACATGCTCTTTCAATTTAGCATTATAAAACACTTTTAACTGAATTATATTTCTAATAATTAGTTAATAACCTTTAAAATTATGCAACTTTTTTATATTAATCTTTATTTAATAAAATGTCATAATTAAAAAATTTTATTAATTATATGCCTAATTAATTTTTTTCAAAAATCTTATTAGTTTTATATTGAAAGATCCAAATAGCTTATATTTTTTAATATGATCTTCAAAAAATATTTTATAATATTCAATGAAAGGGATATGCATCTAAATAATTGAATTTTAATTTCAAGATAATATTCAAAAGGTGACTAGATCAACAGTGCCGGGTAATTTATTTTTTTTTAATGAGAAAAAGGTGTCAACAGAAATAGAAATGGCGACTGGGACAAAAATGTACAAAAACAAAAGCAAATAGTAATTTTACAGGGTAATATATTCTCTCTCTCTTTTTGGTTAGTAGGGTAATACTATTCTAATTAGATTGTTGGTGTAATGTTTGGTATGGGGTTTAACATAGATGATGTATTATTTATAATTCATGAATATAAATTTAATATCATATATATAATATAGATTTTATATGATATTATCATGTAAATTTAGTTTAGGACACTCCTCCCCAATTTTTTTTCTGTTTATAAATATTTGTTTCATTGAATTTTTATTTTGCCATCTTTTTACAAGCCATCCAATAGAAAACTAAGAAGAGATATCTTTACAATTCTAATAATCTTTAAACAATGTTCATTCAACTTATTTTTTTAAGAATTTTTTTAATAAATTTTGCAAGTAAAATGTATGCGTTCAATATAACTAGAAAATTCCTAGAGATTTACCCAAACAACTTTTCCTTTGGCCAAGATACTGTTACCCAACAGGTCAGCAAAAAGTTGACTGCAGGTGGCTTCTGCCAATTTATATGTTTTTTTTTATTTTTCTGTGGACAGCCTACCAATCTCCAATTTTTATTTTTTATTTTAGTAAAACTACCAATTTCCAATCCGGACAGAAAAGTATTCTTATTTTTCTTTCAGGACCAAGGTCTCAGGCATTCTAATAATCAAGGGGACTGGCTACTGTATAGTATATACACATTACTAATTGGAACTTTCTGACACATTCTTTACGTTTTCATCTCCTTCCAAATACCACACAAACTCTTCAAAATTACATAGGGAGATATGTGAGTGACCCCCATCATAAAATTCTTATTTGTCTGATCTCATTCTAAGCTTGTCAGCAATTAAATCAATAGGTAACGATCCAGGTGGGGCTGATGAATCCACCACACTATTTGATTCATCCTCATCATTTTCATTATAGTTGTCATATAGATAATCCTCATCGTCGTCCTCAGTTGCGAAGCTATCACTAGGATAAGTGTTGTCTTCTTCAAAGTCTGCAAGTGAACCTTTGGCAGTAGAATCACCATCTTCACTGGACAATATGAAAGCTGGGGATGAGTGTTCAGTGGCTTGTGAAGCAACCTCAAATTCCTCTACCTTCTCCAAGAGGCATCAGGATCAACTATAATCTCATCCAGCAACAGAGCTTTGCTCAACTCTATCGCGCGCTTCCACAGAGACGTCATTCTAGGGCTTGATGACATCATGTTGCTATCATCCTTATTTTGATCATCCTCACCCTCACCTGATTAACATAGTCAACATACCATATCAAAGCAAAGCCACACAATACTATTAGCCAATGATGCTTTCACGTTTCACCATGTGGGGATGATGTGGTAAAAATATAGAAACAATCATGTGTTTGTGTAATTGTGTGTGTATAGTTACCACCAAATCATACTTTGTAATAATCATTAAGGTATCTCTAGGTAATGTTGTTATCATGATTTCATCAAGTCATTGTATATGCAAACGCAAAAGAGCCACCTTATGTCAAAAAGTTATCAGAATGAAATTGTCAAACAAATTTAAAAGGAATTTCTGTGCTATACAACACTCCACGTGGGGCTGAACTTCATCTCATGAATTTTAATTCTTCCAATACTTCTCTGCAAAAATCATTTCAAAGTGGTTCCCAAGTAATTGTATTTTCTAGGAGCTCATCCAAATAAAACATACTAGCATTAGTTGATTTATAGATCAATTGACAATTATTTCCAGATTTTCAAGGAAGTAAATGGAAGCTTAAAAAATTTCAGGTCATGCAATAATGCATTTCTAGAACATATTCACTCCTTAAATCTGTAGCAATTACTCCACCATCAAAATTCTCGTATCACAATAAATAATTATGCCCAACCTCTATTTTATTTAGAGAACAAACCAATTCTTATCTAGATCTGAGTTTGCATAACAATCTTACAGTGGACATAAATATTGAATTATTGCACTTCTAAGTTTCACTTTTCTGTTTTGAGGTCTCCCGCCCTTTGTTATTAGAGAATATCTTTGGAATCATACTCTTGCTACCTCTTCCTCACTTATTAATAAAAATTTCGGATAAATAAATGCACACGCGCACATATGTACACACATGGTGCAAAGACTCGGCATCATTTTTTTTTTTTGAAAAAAATTGGGCAAAAAAATCTGCAAGTATAGAATGTTTCAGCCAAGTGTATTTCTCTTTAATGTACCTGAATTGTCCAAATTCCTTGAAATACCAACTTCAGGAAGCCTTAAAACTGGAGGAGCTTGAGGGTACATTGATTTCCAATCCTTCCCTCTCCACATCAATATCTGTTCATCATCAAAAGACAACAGCACACAAGGAACCAATTCCTACAAACACAAGAAGATCAAACCACATCATAATATTCTGACGTTTCATTAATTGAGAAATACATAAATAGATAAGCCAAGGGGGAATGATTACACAATTATCATGCAGCGCAAGTAAAATTAGTGGGGTCATGTATCAACAGGCCTGAAAAGAAAATTAACCTTAAGCTTGGCTCCTATTTTCTTGTAATCACTGGGTTCCAACCCCTTGCAGTCAACCTTCACCAAGGGACTTCCTTCAAAAGCATGTTTTACATCTTTCACAAGGGAAACGTAGACTCCATTTTTAGCTGCAGTATGACTAATGTAAATCAGTAGTCTAAATTTAACAGTCCGATGACGCAAAACCACAAATAATGCGCCCATATATATGTAATCTGTGCCAAGGAGGAATGTAATTACAATTACTTATAACAAAAAAAAAATGCTTAGAATGTGAATAAATTATATGCACTAATCCTGTACCCATGTTTATAAATCACAGTTCTATTCCCTTGTCAAGCATGATGTTGTAAACCTTTTAGTTTTGAAATAAGCTTTATGTCATAAATTCAAATTAAAAATTTAGCAATCACATGATTTATGATGTGCTTGAATGATTAGCATTATGTATTTAATTTAACTTAAACTAAAAAATTATCCCACTATACCTACCAAATATTATAAAAAGATTTACATATTAAAAATAACGATAATATTCTTAAAATACTTTCACATAATATGACACTTATAACTTGAATTATGCTGTAAAATTTTGAAATGAAATTGCATAAGACCCATTGTTCTCACTTCCACCAACTATAAGCATGCCAGAGATATTGGAAACTGCTGAAAACTGACTGAAATGAGACCAGCTGCCTCTCATGATGAAGATACTGAGCCACGCAATGAGCTAAACATAGTAATATAGATGGATAGTTTGAAGGAACTGATTCTACGACAACTGAGTTGTTTACCATTCAGCTACCCTTTTGAAATATACCTCAAATCAAAGACTTTGAGTTTAAGCACAGGCTTGCTTCACATTCTATGATTCTTCTCTTTTTGACAAGACAAACTAGGGAAACAAGTGATGTTAATTTGGCAAATTTCTCCATCCAACTGTGAATAGTGTAAATGAAGGAGAGGTAGTTATGGGATGCAAGCATTAACATACATGACAGAGTGATTTGATGGTCCAAGTGGATGGCTCACCTAATTTACATATTGGCAATAGCTTTTTTCCTTTCTTACGGAATTCATCAGCTTCAGCTTTTGTTAATCCTTCTGGAGCTTCTTGGATAAGTTTTGGGTAAACAGGAGCAGCTGGCTTCCAGAGCATCAATGGATATTGTGGACGGGTACGATAGTTGTAATTTCTCCCACGGAAAAGATAAACTATGCCACCAACTCGATGGATTATTTTACCCCCAGTTTTCTCCTATGTAAAATGGAAAAAGGAGATTAATAGTTATTAAAGAGCTACATGAAATGTCAAAAAAAAAAAAAAGAGTGACATGCCATGATTGGTCTCCGCACTTTTTTTTTTTTAACCCTACACCAATATTAAAATGAAAGTGAGACTCAACCAGAATACAATTTGGAAAGACATTCAAATTCAAAGCCATCCAAAGTAGTGCATTTACTTAATTCAGAAGAAATTAAAAAAAAAAAGGCTTCAAATCAATATCGGTATATGTTTTTTAATAGTAAAAGCGGTGTGGGAAATATGGCTGCCACAGCTCTTCCAAGGCATAGGGGCATTCTCCTTCCAGACCAAGGGTTCCATTATGAGTCATGATTGTATGCCTCAAAACACAAAATGTAAGGTAAATTTTGGAAGTAACTTGCTGTGCCTTGCTCAACAAGTTAAATGGAAACCCCTCCCAGGCCCAGGGAATTTGAAAGCAAAGTCCAGTAATTCAAAGCATGCCCATATCATTGAAGAAGAATCAACTGTGATGTAAGATATAACATGATTTTGAAATACATTACAAAGATTAGAACTTGGAAAATTCATAGGAAACCAGTTTAAGTCTGAATAAATGATTTGCCAATTTCCTGGTCATGTTCTGTTCTAAAAATTTCATATCTGGGAAAGTGGGAGTCATATTGTGCCAAAGCCAGTGATAATCTACTCATGGATAAAATGCAAGCGGTCCGTGCTTACCACCTAGCCAGATTAGACCTTAGAAAAGATTTAAAAAAAAAAAAAGTAGGATACCTCAAGATGATAGCAAACGTTATCCATATCTACGGTTGGGACCCCTTTGCAACGAACTTTACAAACACGGGCTCGCTTCCAATGCGAATGTATTAATTCCAACATGTTATGTGTGAATCCATCCCTTCCTAGACAATGCCATTAAGAAGTCATGGTATTCAATTCTCTATAAACACAAAAACCGTGCAGGGAGCCACAAACCCAACATAATACGCAACACATTGTATAAATCACTCATTATAGTACTTGATGCGGACATACGGTATAGTGAATACATAATTCAATAACGTAGCATAAACGTCAGAGAAACAACAAACACTCAGTAAAATCTAGAACTGACCGAGATTAACCTGGCGATTATTTCCCAACATGGGTTTAACAAGCATTCTTATTTCCCACTTCTTCAAAGGCTCCCCAAGTACCTCCTCCCTCGTCTTCCCCTCCTGTGGATACTTCCCCGATGGAAACGGTCCTGGCATTTCAACGTGCTTCACTCCTTTCGTTCCCGGCGGGGGAGGATTGAAAGAATCAAAGAGTGGAATTTTCTTCTTCGAGCTCTTCAACGGCGCTTTACCAGTCCAAGGCCTTGGCATTGTGGGCGGCGCGAACGGTAAGAACGCCGGCTCTCGAATCGCCATCGGCTTTACCTTCGGCGTCTCGGAATAACTATACTGGAATTCGAATGGGGCTCCGGGAAGAAGATAGGACACTCCGGACTCGCCAATGACCACCGAGCGATCGCCATCCGATGTAATAACGCCATCTTTGACAGGTTTGTAGTACTTGGAGTTGCGATGGAGCTTCAGGGCAGGATTCGATGCGGGTTTTGAGGGTTCAGGAGGGGGTTTCTGGGACTTGAGGGATCTACGAGGAGGTGGGTATTTGGGAATTGGGATTGGAGGGGAAGGAGTGGCGGTGTTGACGGTGGGGTCGGACGGTGGCGGCGTCGAAGGTAAGGAGGAGAAGAGATTGCGGCCAGGTAGTGATGCTACAATCACCATGGAAGTTTTGGAGAAGATAAGACTTTAGTTTAAGCTAATTGTGAATATTGATGCTGCCTCTGAACTGGATAGGAATTTAGAAGAGAGGGAACATAGATTTCTGGTTTTTCAGTTGCAGGTAACGACAGGGGAGCGAACAAGGGGGTGGGTGCAATGCACTGATAGTTTGTGCTCGTCCTGCATCATCTTCTATGCCGTTTAATCCTCAATCTCCTACTTTAATGTCGTCTACCGTCAGCTACGCCTACGACACAGACCACGAATCATGGTCTACTCATTCCTCTGTCGTTTATGTGGTCTATTTTTTGCTTTTATTTTCGGGCCAAAGTTTTTATTCATTTTTGGATGTGTTTTATCCTTAAGAACCAAATTATTCTTTAACATTTCATCACAAAAATTACTTTTTATTTTAACATACTGCTGATTAATGTTGTTAAATTCACAATTTTAAATAAACTTATAATAAAATGCAAATTTAAAATATAAAACCGGATAGTAAATTCTTAAAAATTTATCTTTATTAATAAATAATTTTTAAAAGTATATGATTAAATAATTAAAATATAAAATATGAATATAATTTAATTTAAATATATTTTAAATATAAATTATTAAAATTAAATTTATATATATTTATATATTATTATATTCAATATAGAAATTTTAAAATATGACAACTTATTTTTGATATTTTTTATTAATTTTTAGTTTTATTTTTTATTGAATCAAATCCCATTGCTTCTATGAATCAAATTTTATATAGTATATATCTATCTTATTTAATAAATTTATGAGTAGATTAACACAATTTTATAAATTAAAAATATAAAAATGATAAACTTATAAAGTCAACTCGAAAATTTAATAATAATACCTAATTTAATAATAATACCTGATAACATTTCTCTTATTTGAGAGATATATTAATTATTTTATTAGAAAAGACAAGCAAATAATTTAAATAAGGAGCGAGATTAAACTCATAATTTCTTTTTTAAGAGAGTTTTTATACTATTGTTTTACAAGGATTACAAAGACGTACTCTTAAGTTGCACACCTTACAAGGGTTTGAGGAATATACAATCACAAACAATCAAATAAACTGCTTTGTGGGTTTTTATTTGAAAAAACTAATATTTATGAATAAAATGTTTTATTTGAATAGGCTGTTCACGCCCATTGGGCTAATAAACCCTTGTGTAAGATCATCCAACATGGTTCTAAAATTGGGCCGGACAAATCTGATAGCTTCGAGCACAATTTGCGCCAAGTCCAAGTTCCCCTGTAAGCCGCCTCTCCATCGCTCTCACTGAACCCGCGTCGTACCAAATCTTCAATCGCCTAACCCTAGGAGACTCGGACGAGTATATAAGCCACCCTGCATCTTCTTCGGCCTCTCATCCGAAGGTTTCTGAATCGGTGGCACCATGCAAATCTTCGTGAAAACCCTAACGGGGAAGACCATAACCCTCGAGGTTGAGTCTTCTGATACCATCGACAATGTGAAGGCTAAGATTCAGGACAAGGAGGGAATCCCTCCGGACCAGCAACGTCTCATCTTCGCCGGTAAACAGCTCGAGGATGGCCGGACCCTAGCCGACTACAACATCCAGAAGGAGTCGACGCTTCACCTCGTGCTCCGTCTCCGTGGTGGAGCCAAGAAGCGTAAGAAGAAGACCTACACAAAGCCCAAGAAGATCAAGCACAAGAAGAAGAAGGTCAAGCTCGCTGTCCTCCAATTTTACAAGGTCGATGATTCAGGTAAGGTCCAGAGGCTCAGGAAGGAATGCCCCAATTCTGAGTGTGGGGCTGGAACTTTCATGGCTAACCACTTCGATCGCCATTACTGTGGCAAGTGCGGGACGACTTATGTCTACCAGAAGGCCGGTGGTGATTAATTATTTCGTTTTGGATTATGGGCTCGCTACTTTCTATAATGTTGCCTTTTCTTTTTTATTGTGACAGTTTAAATTTTTGTAGAATAGTTCAGTAGACATCGTTTTAAATTGTATTCGACTACCCCAAGCTTTCGATCTTTTGGGCTTTGCTTTTAACATTTTTGTTTACATAAACTGATCGTTAATGCTCTGTTGCCATTATTAGTCGTTTTGCTTTTATAATTTAGCTCTATGGTATTACTGGGTATTTCAATATTGCCATTAGTTAAATTATCTTTTGGAAAATTTCATTGCGTCATAATGTTGTAAACTGTGTTGTTGACACTTTCGTAATCAAGCATATTATGAAAGGATTCTGGCATTTCTGGCAATTAAGTACATAACAGAGAGTTGAAAAACAGTGATACTATCAGGTTTTAAATTGTATTACATGATGTTTATTTATTAGAAAACTTGCAGCGAATAAATTGCAAATCTTGATTTCAGACCAAACTATATGTGAGTTGAATTTATGAATAATTTTAGGGCTTTTAGAGTGACTTAGTCAGCATTGATATTGGACCCAAGCATTCTTTAGAGGAAGGGTATGTGGAATTAGCTCTTGAGATAGCCATTTGGTTCCTCGGATAGGTTTGACATTACCTTTAGTGGTTATATGTATCCACAGGCTTCATTTGGATGGGGAGGAGAGCCGTAGAGAATGTTACAGGGAAAACTTCCTAAAATAGTTTTTTCCTCCTGATGAAAGATTGATGATAGTATATGGTAGACTAAATCATAGTTGTGAAGAGTATTGGTACTTAGCCTACGGCTAATGAATCTTGTTCCGTCCAACGTGCAAGCATTAAAAGGGTGTGAAAACTTTGTAGTAAAGATGGCTGTTCAACGTAGAATGGAATGAATTTATAAGTCTGTGTTTCTAAATTGTTTTTTTTCTTTTGCAAAATCTGAGCGTTTGTTTACCTGGGAAAATTTGTAATACGTTATGACCTTTTATTATGAAACCTCAGGATTGCATAATTGTGTTGTTATTTTGGAAGAATTATGTTAAAATTTCACATAAGAAAATTAATTACTGTCGTTTTGCTAATAGTCTTAATTCAGTTGTTAATAGACATTGTAGTTATTAATTTTTTTATATGGAACCTATATGTAATTCTCCTTATTATTTTTACAACTCATTTCAATCGCGAGCATGTCATGCTTTTGCCCATTGTCTTTTTTTTTTTCTTTTTAGAAAAATTGCATATGTGCCTCCTTCTATTCGAGATAATCTTATTCAAAGAGTGATTGAGTACTAAATGGATTCCTCTCCTAATAAGAGTTTGAATTTAAGTTGTCACATTGGGAGGGATTAACCCTTGTTGGTAGTAGGCTTTTTCCCCTGTTCACGACAATAATGTAATATTATGTTTATCCTATGCTTGCCCAGAACTTGAAATCTGTGGTTTCCAGCTGAACACAGCTCAGAATGGTCACACATAGTGCCATAGCGATAGGTTAGTACTAATTCCAACACCGACTCTGCATGGTTGGGGACAAAGTTTAAGTTGAATAGAGGACCCAACTTGGAGTGTAGATTTCGAATAGGAAGGAAAGGAAGGAAATGAAAGGGAGATGGCGGGTGACAACAGATCCCACGCAGGAAATGAAATAGAAAAATTTTAGGCAGCGGACAGATGCACCAAGGTGCTGAATGTGAGATTAGGAATAAAGCAAAGCATGAAATGGAATATCTTATAGTCCTTCTAAATGATTGCTTCGCTTCGTCAAATTTATATTTGTTTATCTATAATCCTTTGTTTAAAATATAATTGAAAGTTGTAAGTTTATTATGCTCTCAAATTTTATTTTTTTGAAATATAAGGCTACTTACAAGAAAAAATAAAATTAGCTTAGATCAGAACACAAAATCCCTATTTCGAAGTGGTTATGGTTTGTTTGATAAGTAAACCAGTCAGCATGTTTATTCTTGAATTATTTTTAATCAATTAAATGTACTAGTTGATGTTAAAACATGATTTCGCAACTAGTCCATAAAATCCAGAATAGCCAAAAACCGATTCAAAATAAAGCGAGGAGAAAATAACATTTGGATCCCTTGTAAAGAAAATTATAATTTTTTAGTTACATTTGACAATACTTGAAGATAACTTGATAATGTTAGATCTCGTATAATTGTAAAAAATATATTGGGATAAAATTTTATTTTCGTCTTGAATCAAAGTTTTCACATGAATTAAGATAAAATGAAAAGTATAGCTAATTAAAAGCTTCGAAATCCATGCATTTCACTAACTTAAACATATATATTGAACAACTGTATTGCCATTGGCTTATATTTCATCATGATCTTTCCTTTCGAACACTTCCAAACATGACGAGAAAAAGAGCACGGATGTGAAAATGATTTAATGCGGTCAATGTTATGATACTATTTCAATTGAACTTGTTGGTGATCAAAGTCACAACAAATGCTACAAATGCATGTGATCAAAGCTGTGATGTGATTTTAAATAATTGACAGTTACAAAGCAAAAAACATCTTACTCATTCTTACCCTCTCACCCCGTGTTGCTTTTCCACAGTCCACTTCCTCTCCAGGTATGACTAGTGAACATCGGTCTCTTCATGTGCCCGTCAAGTGTTCGTACTTTGTGTAGAAGTTCAACACTTTAATTTTAAAGAGAAAATGAGGTCATTTGTAAAGGATTAAATGAAAATTTTACTCTTAAATTATAGGCTCAAGAACATTTATATTTTAAATTTATTTTTAATATAATAAGTTTAGAATATAAATGCTTGTTTTAATTTTTAAAAATAATATAATATAGCTTCTACTACTAATGAAAGTTAACTTTAATAATTAATTAATTAAAAAACAATTTTAAAAATTACCAAAAATTATAAAAAAACCAAAAAATTATAGAAAAAGATAAAAAAAATTTCTTGATCCTTGTCTATAATATTTTTAAATAAAAAATTAATCTTTTAATCCTTTAACTTTTAACTCCTTTAACTTCCCTCAATTGTAACTCACTGTAACTCAATCCTTTAACTATAACTCGCTGCGACTTAATCCCTCAACTTTTGATTCACCTATAACACGGTCCTTATTTTTTAATTTTTTTAAAAATTTCTTATCAAATAAGAGGGATAAAAAAATGCTCATATATTATTTTAAATATCCTCCCTTTACTCATTGATGTGAGATATAAATTAATATGAAAAAATTAACAAAAGTTTAGGAACTAATTTGTAAGTGATTCAAAAGTTGAGAGACTGACTCATAGGTGAGGGATTGAATCACGGCGAGTCATAGTTGAAGAATTGAGTTACAAGTGAATTAAAAGTTGAAGGACTAAAAGATTAATTTTTTCTTTTTAAATTAATCATTAAAGTTAATATTTGTTAACAATAATAGTTATATTAAACTGTTTGAAATCTTGAAGCAAAATTTTGCACTAAAAACAAGTTTGGAGTCCTAAATGCTTTTAGATTTATGCAAATTTGTTATTTAACCTTTTGTAAAATGATACTTAAGACTTAGTAACCTTAACTGTCCAAATAAGTTGTAAAGACTAGCAAAACCCATTTTTTCATATATGATGCCAACTAAATTTTATGATAATTTACAACTCATTTTCTAACATTCGTAATTTGATTGTTTAATATTTACAAAACATTTTCTATTACTAATCAGGTGAGGGCATTTTTGTCCATAACTTTTTATTGGTTGGTTTTGATGTAACATCTCAATTTAAAATTTAATAATTAATTTAGGTTAATAGAAATTTTAAAAAATATTTAAAAGTAAGTAAATTAGTAGAAATGATTATTATATCTAATTTAGGATATAATTCTAAGTTAAAATTTTAAAGATTATTATTATTATTATTATTAGAAAAGAAGAAAGAGAAATATAATAGAAAGAGAGATTGAGAAATGAAATGTAAATATATATATAAATGTATGTGTGTGTGTAGGAATTAAATAAAAAAAATGGGGAGGTGGAATGTTTTACTCGCATGGTTACATATATATATATATATATATATATTAGATAAATTAAAAAAAAAGAAAAAGAAGGAGCGGACGTGCTGTAATGTACATACATACATACATACATACATACACACACACACACACACACATATATATATATATATATATTAAAAAAAAGGGAAAGGAAAGCAAAAGGAGGTAGGACCCATACTTTTTTTTTTAAAGCCCACGCATTCTCTTCTTATTTTCTCTTCATTTCCTTTCTCTTTTGTGTGCGAACAGAGAGAGCATTTGTGAGCGTGAGTTCGCCAATACTAGGGAGCTACGTTTTTAAGATGAGACTTTCTTAATAGAATATTTTGAGTGAGATTTCAAGCTTTTCAAGATTAAGTAAGTGTTCTAAAAATTTTTCTTAACCATCTTTCCTTTTTGGTTTTAGATTTTGTGGTGGTAGAAAATCTAGAATTTAAAAGAGGGATGAATTTATGTTGAATAAGTGTGATTGTTGAAGTTTTTAGTGGTATAATAAATATTCTAGAGTATAAATTTATTGATGAACTTAGAATTTAAAGCTTATGGATCAAACCCTAGGCTAGATTTTTATTAAATCCAAAAATATATGTTAATTTATTGAGGTTTAGATGATTATTTAGGATGAGAAATGAATTATTATGGCTATAGGATGATGATTCTAAGCTTGAGATTTAATTTTTAGGTATTTTAGGTGCAAATTTATGAAATAAAAAAAATTTGATAATAAAATTGGTTTAGAGGTTGATTTTAGCTTATTAATATTTATTGATGACTAAAAGAGGAGTTAAAAATTTTACTTAATAATACTAACCCTAGATTTGTATTAAGATTGAGATTAAAAATTATGTTGTATTTTCTAATCCCATTATTAGAGTTATTTTATTAGTTTAAATAATTAAAACTAATATTTATATTATTTATAGATTGTGTTGTTAGTGAAGATTGTGGTGGGAGAGAAATTGTAAGGAATAATTTATTGAAAAAGCCACAAGGTAACCATGCTTTTAATTTGTGTTTAGTGTTGCTTCATGTTAATTGGGTAATTATTGAGAAAATTATGAATTGTTGTTGAGAAATTACTTTATTATGTTTACGAAAAAATTGTGAAATTGTAGATATACATTTTCAAGTATTTTTGCCAAGTGGGATGTCATATTATAATATTGTTAAAAAAAAAAAAATTGTGAAGATTGTAATATTGTATAATTGTATAATATTGTTATGAATTTGTTTGATTAGTGTGGGAGGTGTTGGGAGACTGTTGTTGTTGTTGTATTTATGTGCCACGTGGTACGTCCCTATTGGAGCCCAATAGGTGGCTTGTAAGGGCTCGGGCTAATCTACCTTTGGCTAGGTAATTTAGCACCAAGTAAGGGTTACGGCTCAAGATTAATGGAGGGAGATAAGGATGGTTGTTTGTTATGCACTGTAATATTTTTTGTATTTTGTTGAAATTATATTACTGTTGTTTCCCCACTTAGCAAGCACATATTTAACTGTTTATATATACTATCATATATTGGCATTAGTTACTGGAACTTTTGAGTTTTATTATCTCGTTAATAAGTTTTAGGAGAAGAGCCACGAGTGGCGCGTGGAGGAGTCCCTAAAGTTTAGTGGCATAGATCCACTGTCTCTTTTGGGTATTTAATTTATAATTTTTAATGTGTTATATTGTCAATACTAGGGCGTTTGTTTATTGACAATTATATGAATGTAATCATGTAATCATGCCCTTCAAACTATTTCTACATTTGGTACACTTTGGATGACTGTAATTTTAATCTTTGATTTATTTTGGATGGTTGAAATGGTATGATTATGAGGCTAAATAATTGGCTTGTTTTGGGAATTGATTAAGTTGTTAGTTATTGGTTTATGGTTTGCATTTATTGGGCTTATAAGAATGAAAAATGTGATTTTAACTCAATGGCATGTGGAAAGTAAAAATTTATCTGAGATATTGTATTATGCAAGTTTAAGCCAATTATAAAATGTTTTATATAAAAATTCATCTGAGATATTGTATTATGCAAGTTTAAGCCAATTATAAAATGTTTTATATTGAATTTATTGATATAAAATGTGTTGGGTGGCTGTAACCCAATTATGGTTGTAAATATATATTAGTCGTATAAAATTATTTTGTATTATTTAGAAAGGAGTTTAATCTTTTTTACCATGGTAGTGTTTTAAATTATAGAATTGTTTTAAAAAAAATATAGAATAAGTTGACTTCTGTTTATCATGATAGACACTTTTCTACCTTGATTGAGTTAAATTGTTTTTTTAAAAAAAATTAGGGTGTTACATTATATTTGACATGTAAGGACTTGGGGACTTGTGTATCGCACATATTAACCAAATTTATCTATCATTATCTTTCTTTCATGGGATTACACCAAATATCAATTATTCAATTTTAAAAGCTGTTTTTGTACTTTTTTTTTAAAAAAATGTTTTTAATCCAATCCTTTTTCATGAGAAAAAGGGACACACGCATCCGTTCATGCACAATAATGATATTAACATTAGGTTTAAATATAAGATATCTTCTAAGAAAGAGAGGTGATCTTGTCATTGGGACAATTAAAAAGTTATTTTTCTATTTGATAGACCATCCAAATCATATTCCATGAGATAATTAAAAGAAGACAAATGCAAGCTACAAGGGAAGATATGAAGAAGTAGAACTATCCCTTTTTTCAAATCATATCCCACGGTTTAATTTTGGCACTTTATGCTCATAAAGATTGTGTGATTTCTCATTTACATTGAGAAGAGTGGTATGAGGGCAGGTGATAAATGAACATGGATGATGGAACAAGCAAGTCTTTTAGAGATAATGACAAAAACAAGAAGGGGTTATAATTTGGAGGAATTTTAATAATTAAAGCACCTAAATATGCGGTTCTTGATTCCTACCTGCCACCCAACTTTGATTCATTTTATCAATAGGAGATCATGATCCCATTATTATTGAAAGGATATCTTCCTACAATTATTCTTGATCGCTGCTTATATCCCCATAGTTTTGGACATCGATATCAATCTTGTTAAAACATTTTCACCTAAATAACCGTGAAATAGTTCAGATTTGATGAGGCTTTGAGATGAATTTTACTGCTTCCATAATTCCAAATGAATTATAGTGGCACAATCTTATTAGTCTGAGTTTGAGGATATTGCTAACTGTTGTGCTTGTGTTTGATTTCTTCTTATTTTCATTGTTGTTATTCAGGATCCAATATAAATCCTATATGATTGAGTCATCTGTTTTACGTTATAAAAAAAATCACATTTAAGTCACACTTAAGCAAGTTAATCTCAAATAAGTCCCTTGAGTTAGCTTAATTACTACGAAGTTTCAAGAAATCTGAGTGTTCTTTCTAATACATATGAAAAGATAAAATTACTCCTAAAAAAAAAAAGAAGATTTAAAAAAAAAAAAACCTCTTCTCCAACTTCCAGGTTAGACTCTCCCCAAAATCACAAGAAGAAGACGCAAATAAAGACCAGGCGCTTCTTTATCAAGTACCCATATTCAACTCATTTGTTATTGAGCGTGCATAGCGTGGACGATGGTTTTTTTTTTTTTTTTTTTATCTTCCTTTTTATTATTTACAGTATAATTTTGTCTTTTCATATGTATTAAAATAACAGACAAGTCCTTTGGGACCTCTCAGTTATTAAGCAAATTCAAGGGACTTATATAAGATTAACTTGCTTTGGGTAGGACGTAGATGTCACTCTCCTTTATTTCTATCTTCTCCAGTTGTTTTTTGTGTGTCCATTGTCCTAGTCGAAGTTGATTTTTTTTTTTTTTTGACTTAGGCTTCTGTGTACTTAATTTTATCCTTCCACAAACTGATTTTATTTTTTCAAAAAAAAAATGGAGTAAAAATATGTGGTTAACAACATTACGCGTATGGTATGTATGAATGGATCTCCTTCAAGGGGAAAAGAAGAGAGAGAAATTCGTCTCTCCTATTTTTGGAATTTTTAATTCGTTTTTTAGGATTCTTATTTCTAGCTTTCATACATTTATACAAAACCAGCCTCTTTCATACCTAGCAAGTGTTTTTGGATCTCTTAAAAAAAAAAAAAGACTTACATGAACGTCTCTCTCCTACTTTGTTTACTCTTCTCTCACTCTTAAAAATGACTCTTTAATATTTAGGTTCAAATGATAATTTTATTGTATATTATTATTCTTTTCCAGCTTTCATACATTCATACAAAACAAGATAACTCCCATCCATTTTCATGTCCATCAAGCGCATTTGGAACTTACAATAATAGCTTACACGAAGGTCTCTCTCTTCTTCCTCTTCTCTCTCCCTTGAAAATGACTTATTCCTATCAAATATGATCTAAAATTAGATGATTAAAATTTCAAAATCAACACAGCCGATTTATGTAGTGACTTGATATTTTTTTGAACAAGGCTATACCTCCAAATCTTTTGGATGCAAAAAGTTAAATCGAAATAGTTATATTTCTATTTAGACTCAACAATAATTAAATCGAATGCTCGTTCAATCACCAAATTGTACACGTCAAGGTCAACATTCCTTGCTTGTACATGTGATGAGTAAATGTTCTGTTTTCATAAAGACACATGAAACAAGTACTTGACCCCGCAAATAAGCGTACAAGTTTGAGCCACACACACAAAGTCTCATGAGAAGAAGAAGAATTATATGGGTAAAGTTTCTCTGTCATTTCTCAGCTGGGACGTGACTGTAATTTGAGAGAGGCTTGCTTAGTCTTCCCGCACTTTAAGGTGAAATGTTGGAGCAAATTAGGGCAACGAAAAGCTCCACAAGTACCTCGCAGTACAAGTAATTAAGGCAAAGATTATGATTGATTGAGTCTTCTATCTGTTTGGATCGCTGAATTATTCTAGTCAATTTCAAATGAATTTGATCGGTTTATTAAGAAAACCCTTGACACACATGTTTGAGTTTCATCCAATCAAATTAAACTGGACCAATATAATTGATTGAGTTACGTGACATATATTAGATTAAATTCGAGAATTATTGACTTTAATTAAGAGTTGCTCTTCCAATGTAATTTTGTAAAATTCAAATTGATTATTCATAATTTGTGAATAATACCAAGTTTTATAAACATATCACTCATTTTTGGCAATAGATGCCCAACCTCTGTTGCTATTATAGTACCATTTATTTGAGTGTTGCATCCAACAGGTCACCATTTCTCATGTCATATCATTGACTAGTGTCTTGCCACAATGTCCAAACTCTTAACTTTTGATACTATTTTTTTCTCTCATGCAATTCGAAACAGGACAGAAGAAAAAAAATCATGAAATAATTTGTTAATAACGAAACATGAAACTTTGTTCCATTCTCCACCTTCAACTACAAATGCTTCCTCGTTTCATCTCAATATCTCAGCTTCGTCCTCTCTCTCTCTCTCTCTCTCTCTCTCTCTGACTCAGCCATGTCAACACTCAATGATCTTCATCTTCAAGAGCACATATGCTACGTGAAATGTGGATTCTGCACCACCATCTTACTGGTACTGATCATTTCACCTCTTAGTTTCTCTTCACTACTATTCATTTTTATAGCTTTTGTTAGTGTTACAAGATCCAGTGCTACTTAATACAAAAAATAGTGTTTCTATTGCTAGAAAAACGCAGAGAGAGAGAGAGAGAGAGAGAGCGCGCGCGGTAGCTAGCACTTCTTGTATGAAGCGCTATGGCATGTATTTATTTATTTTGTTTTAGAAAACTTATAGGTAGCAGTTGCAAGAATAAAACACTACTTTTGGCTAGGAAGCATAACCGCTTGTTTTAATTTCTTTTTTCGTGGTAATGCTGATTGATCACTTTCTTTGGTTTTATTGTCTCTTTAATTTGTTTTCATTAGGTCAGTGTCCCATGCAGTAGCTTATCAATGGAGGTGACTGTGAGGTGTGGAAACTGCACAACCCTCCTCTCTGTTAGTATGATGAAAGCTTCTTTTGTCCCTTTTCAACTCTTCCCCTCTCTTACTTGTCTGGATCAGGTACTTCGTTCATTAACCTTCTCAATTATTCTAAGTTCATTACATGCATGCTGATTTCAAATGCTTTTGTGATGATGATGACTATATATATATATATATATATATCTATCTATCTCTTCAGCCCAAAGAGGGTCGCCCAGAAGAAAATATTGCAGACAAGAGTACTTGCTCTGATAGTGGGGAAGATGATGCAATTCCAATGAGTTATTATGCCATTAATGAACGTAAGTAAGACCAACCTTGATTGATCAGCTTTGCATTATAATAAAGGTGTTTGTTAGCTTTTCAAAGAGGTCATATTAGTCAAATAAAGTGTTGCAGAAAAATGACCATTTGATGGAAATTAAACTAACATAGTATCGGAAGTATAGTTTCACATTAAACACTATATGTATCACATATGTCCATCAATTTACGTGTATACTCCAAGTTTAGGGGCCTGTTATGTGAGGTGTAAGGAGCTTAATGTGTGTTTGTTGTTCTGTTTCTAAAAAAGACTTTTCTCAAAAGCTCCAATTTATTGCTTCTCAAATGTTACCTTGAAATTCACTTAAAGGCACGTTTGGAGTCTAAAAAGTGCTTCCAAATGGGTCATAAACAAAACTTGATACTGAGTTTGAAACAGGTTTTGATAATCCCCATTTCCTCTTTTAATTTATTTATTCTCTCTGCATAGGCCCAGGGAAAAGACAAAAAACACCTTCAGCTTATAATCGCTTCATCAGGTAATATTTCAATATATACACAGAACTGTACTAACCATTAGCATCAGAACGTGAAGATAATGTAATTCATAATATTGGTTTGATATGCAGAGAAGAGATCAGAAGGCTGAAGATTGAAAATCCTGACATGGTCCATAAGGAAGCTTTTAGAACTGCAGCAAAAAATGTAAAGAGTCAATTCTTTTTTTCTTTTTCTTTTTTTTTTCAAAAAAAAAAAAAATCTAAGGGCATTATCATTAGCCTAATGCCTGAACAATTACTTATGTTCACATTTCAGTGGGCCAATTTCCCTCAAGCTCAATCTGAAGGAGATGAAGGGAGTAGCCAATCAGGGCAGGTTGAGAATACAGACTCAACATGTGGACCCACATGAAGATGATTGAGGAGGTAAAAGTACAGTAATTTCCAAATCAGATTAAAGCTTATCATCAGTACAAGGGCTTTTTTGGTCTCTTGCTAGCTTCATGAAATTTCTTATCCTTATTTATCGTAGGAAAAATATAACTTTCAAACCCTGCATTTTGTTCATGTTTTATTATAAGTTCTTGCACTTTTTTTCTTGTTTTATAAGTCTCTACACTTTCAATTTTTGGTGTTCTAGGTTTCTAAATGAACAAAGAGTAGGACTTTAGAGGGACCTAGAACACCGAAAAATAAAAGTGTAGGGACCTAAAATAAAAAAAAAAAAAGTATAGGAACCTATGATAAAACACGAGTAAAGTATAGGGATCAAAAGTTTTGTTTTCCCTTTATAGTAATAGCTAATGATATATGCTTGTGATACGTGTCCTTCAAATCCTCCACACTCATGCATGTATTCAGAGACAGATAAGGAGAAAATAGCAGACCAAGAATGTAATTGTAAAATGTGAACTGAACCTCATTTACAATCAAATTTTCTAGTGTCTCTTTCTCTCTGTATGTATTTTATATATATATATATATATTGCTAACATTTTTTTTTATATCTGTTTCTCTGGTTTATCCTCCAACTGACACATGTTAGGTCTTTGTGATCTTAGAAACAGTGAAACTATATGGTATTTCTGGTATAGTACTTTTATGCTGCTGTAATTGGTGGAAGACTTCATGTGTGAAACTTTTATGTGAATGAAGGAGGTTAAGGCCTACGTGGAAGTACCAACAAGGAGTTACGTCTTGGCGAGGACAACTTTTGAATGATGAAACCTCAATATGACAAAAACTTACTATTTCTATCTTACCTTAGAGGTTGTCTGTCTCTGAATCATTTGTCTTCTGAGAATGGAAATCTAAATAGAAAGTTAGAAACAAGTGGGTATTATTATCATGACTCATGAGAGATTGCCTGTCAGAGAGGGTCCATTACCAATAATTGATTATTATTTTTTTTAATTTTTCTCTGATTCTTTTTTTCCTTTTCCCGAGTGAACCAGCTCCATTATTAGTCTTCACAATAAGTTTATGGTTAGAAATTGCTTGTATATGACTTCCAGTCTTTACCGTTCATCTCTCTCTTTGTTTCCTTCATAAGTTGATCCAACCAATATGGCAATAATTTTGATTTGTGGTCACATTAAAACAGAGACTTAGGCATGTGACTTAATAGAAATCCTAATACTCCAATGGGATGTATTTGAAACAAAAATACAAAGTTTAAATCAAGAAAATGACAGTCTAAAAAGCTATCTGGAGTGTTCTAAAGAGTAATTTTTACAAGTATTATTTATGTTTGGCTAAAGTACTTTGTATATGGTCTGAAACAAACGAAACAATATTTAGATTTGCAAAAGGACTTTTAGAATCCTAAAAGTTGTAACCAAACGGGCTCTAAATTACAAAATAAAGTCCAAGTTCTTAGAATTATGTAGCCTCATTAGTGAAATCACATACATTGCATACTGCATATTTATTTACATAATTGGATGAACAATAAAAAGAAAGTAACTAAACTTTGGCTTAAACTTTGTCTTCAATCTTCGCATTTCATTAGCGAATTGCTTGGGCTTTACGCATGTCACTTGCCAGCATAATATATATCCGAAGGGCTAGATGCAGAAGATAAACAAAATCAGTGTATGTAATAATCACCATTAATTCTAGCAAGTATGGTAATAAATATATCATAAGTGAAAACTTCACTATCTCAAAACCCATGATACATCTTTAACTTGCAGGAATTAATAAGAGTTCATCATGCTCGCTAGCTTTTCCCACACGTGATTATTCATTAATTACTAATAACTAATCCTTTTACTTCCACTGTTTCCTTCTCGCTAAACTCTGTCCTCTTTGAACATATCTACCTGAAAAGTAAAATAAGAATCCATGTGAGACTCTTTCTGTACTTTTCCGCAACTAAATGCTATCATATTACCTCTCGACATGCTCATAAGCTTCACTTAGCCTGTACAGGCTAAAAGGATATAGAGAAGATTCAGGTCTCTTACGTGTAAAAGGCCTTGGTGAGATAACTTGGAAATATGCTCTGAAGAAATCTTTATTCTCCTTTTGTAGCTCTTTCCACACTGCCCAACGTAACAAGAATAAATTTATATTCAGATAAACCCTTCATATTGTGAAGTATAGACATACCATATATATTTTCTTTTTTTTTTTCTTCTTCTGAAATACACACACATACAACTGACACACACCTGTAAGTGTCACAAGTGGTGTAATCCTTGCATGCTCAGCTAGAGCCTTAACGCATTGGTCTTGGCTCATGTGTAGGATCAAGCATCTCTCTATGAGATTCTGAACCTGTATTCAATTTCAAAGCATGAAGATGAAGTTATAAGCATGATATATTCAAAGAGTAAACAGATATTGAAGCAGAAGAGAATATATCAGATGTGGAGAATCTCACCATTCTAATGTATCTTTGAGGGTGGCAATAGAGACAAGGAATGAAGGGCTGGTGAGTGTGATGCTGATGCATAGTGTAGCAGTGGACGAAGAGAGAGAGAGAGAGAGAGAGAGAACAAACAAAGAAGAAATAGAAGTAGAAGAAGAAAGCAAACAAATGTGAAGAAAAGTGCATGAACTAGTTGCAGATATTTTCAAGTGTTCTTTTTACACACACACACGCGCACACAAGAGACAGCTAAGAAATGAGAGCCTTATGTGTAATGTTATCCTGTCATATCCTAAGTGAAGGGCCAAAATAGCTCAAGAAATCCTAACGATTGATTCACCTCATCTTCAAAGAGATAAGTCAGGCCATGTTACCATCTCTTTATCTTTTTTTTTTTCTTTTCTATTTTTGGGAGTGAATTTTCTGTGCTGCTAAAGACTATAATGTGGACAAGAGCATAGCCACTAGAATCACTCTTATTCTACCCCGTCACTGTGCTATCATAAAAGGCATGAATTAATATACCTAATTGGTTAGATATGTTATATGGGTCCTATGTGATGTATATGCCATGAATGTAGTGTGGTCCTCCATGGAAGAAAAGCCAATGAACTGGTCCACTCATGGGTAGATGAAGAGTTCAATTTCATCATATTAATAATGGAGACGGTGAGGTTTAGGACAAAAGGAAATACAAGTTGAATTTCATTTGATATTTGAAAACTGACTCAAGGTTTCATCTATAACTATATTATATTTGAACCTCGTTTGGTCCTTGTGTGTGTTTTTATTGAAGCATTATTCTTCTGTTAGTCGTTCACAATCAAAGCAATTATGGCTATTCTCAAGCAGACGATATAGCCCTTCTGTGTAAACCCCCTCTTAATGTCATCCTTTCTATTTATAAAATTTCAATTTATGACTTCTATTTAAAGGGTGTTGGAGTATTTTGACATTCGATCTGATCCCATCATTTCTCGTGATATCATTATGAAGATGAAAATGCTTGGAATTATCCATCGTTTCTTCTGAGTATGCCCAAATTCCCTATCGATGTCATAATTTTGGCTACGCTTGAAAGTGGGAAAAAATATGCTAAGTGAAATTGTATCTAAGACTCAATTAAATCTTTCGGAGTTAAAATGTCTTCACGTGAAAGAGCAAATAATATAATCAATGAAAATATGAATAGATTTTGTTTTCATTTTTCTTTTCATTACTTCCCCCCTCTCTTTAAAAATACTTTAGAATAAAGATTTTAGATCCCGTGTATATAATTTCCAATAGTTTAAATACATTCATACATACACATTTGTTTGCATCAATATTTATCATAGTACATAAATCCAAGTCAAAATACTTGGTTAAGTCAGTAAACTATTAAATCAATATCCTTTTGCTTTAATAAAATAATTTGTTTTAGCTGATTTGATTATGGTTTAACTATACTTTTGACCATTAATTTTTATACTAGTGCTATCATTGATTTAATAATCAGTTCAGTTTTTAGCATCTTAATATTTAGGGTAAAGGTATAAATTTAACCATGAATTTTTTTTTAAGGAGCATCTAATATCTTATATTATGGAGTAATACACAAAATAAATCATCAACTAACAAAATGAAGCATGTCAACCTTCTGTCGCTATCAATTTATGCCTAACATTTGTTCATTGTCTTCCCTAACCTTCCAAATCCTTGTTGAACAAGTAATCTAAAACCATTCACTCAGTGATCAAAACAATGATTGTATGTGCAAAATGTATTTTGGTTTTACAAAGACAATTCTAGGTTCAAGAAGACAAAGTTGAAGAATTGGGAGGAGTGGCTAATGGAAAAACAAAGAGAATGAAGGTCTCACAAATTTAAGTTAATGGACATTAGCTATAAATTGACGGAAGGTTGTACATGCTTCATTTTTTTTTAGTTGATAATTTATTTTGCTTCAACTCATAATATAAGATATCAAATGTTTTCAAAAAATGATTTACAGTTAAATAATTTACACTTTTACCCTAATATTTATAACAATACTTGCTTTCACATGAGGCGCACATCTATTCTGTTCCTGTTACTCAATTTCTTCTATCTTACTTCTTCAAACTTTACAATAGCTTCATTATTAAAAAATCATTAAACAAAAGTTTAAGTGGATATAGACTCACAGGCAAACTACAATTTAAGAGATTTCATGTTATTGAAATAAATTCCCAAAGCCAATACAACCAACAACAGAGATAACAAACTGAAAAGTTAACTTCAACAACCCTCCTAAAGGAATATAACATTCAACCTGCTCCGCAACAGAATCATTAATTGAACATTTTTCTGATAATCCCTTCATAAAGTGCAAAGTGTATTGGCAGATTGGTTAGATAATATAGGGGAAAGGAGAAACAGCTTTACAAATGAATCAGAAGAAAATTAGGGAGTTTGGGTAACTAACTTCTAACTTTTAGAAAATATTTTTAGTGCTTTTCAAAAATTAGAAGTTGTTTGAGAAAAAATCATGAAATAAAAAGTGAATCTTAAAATTGCTTTAAAAACACTATTCAATCCACATTCAACCTTAATCTTTAGTGCCTGTATGGTTTTTCATTTGTCAAAAAGTGAATCTTAGAAGTGCTTTGTAACCAAATTTTTATTTAGATATATTTTTTTAAAAATTAATTTAATAAACTAAAAGTTGTGCAAATTAATATAATGAAAAGTGCTTTCAAATGTACCATTACTAAAAAAATACATTAATTTTTATAATTGATCCTTTTGTTATATAATATATTATTAAGTGAAAGGTTGAAAAACCAAACACAACCTCAGTCATTGCAATAAAACCAATGCTTTCTCAATCCAACTGCTAAGCAGAAGCCATTCTTGTACAAACTTGTTTAAACTGTAATACGCACAAAAGGCTGCATTCCTACATATAAATTCACATGACAGCATCAATTTCAACACAAGGCTTACCACGAATTTAGTCTTTAAAGTCATAACATGATGTGTTCTGGCCGGAAAAAAAAAAAAAAAGGAGTCATAACATGATGTGATATCACAGTCATCACACTGACTGATACACTTTAGTGGCTGAGTAGCTAGCATACGCTGCATCATATGATAGTCTTTTTAAAACTTCACACAGCTCAATTGGCTCGAACAGACTAAACATGTCTGATGATAGACAATTTGAAGAAGTAAAAGAAGGCAAAATCACTACACTTGACCAGAAGAAAGTGACAAAACTGGTTTCTGAGTCATCTGTAGTTCCATAAGCTGTCTTAGCTGGGCTCAGACTTGTCCAGAGCTGCAACCGAATGTATCAGCAGATCAAATTAAATAATATTAGAAAAAATGACGCAAATCCAAACAGAATAACAGAGGAGTATGAATTACCATTGTAGTTCAGTAGCTTCTCAATGAGGTCAACATGGGTCATCAGCATGCGTCTACAGCAATAACGAACCAAACCCAAAGCGTCCAGTGCATCTCTGCATTTCATCAATATCAATACATATTAGTATAACAAAACTAATACGCGGTAGAAGCTAGACGCTATGAAAATGTGGTTGAGGAATACAGCATTGCAGTAATGTCATCTAGTAGTCATCAAGGGTGTGTTGCAGCTATAGAAAAGCTATTTTATACGAGGTAATTGCAAAAAAAAAAAAAAAGGTTTGCAAATTCCCAAAAGATGATGTTGGCATCAGAAGTCACTTTTCAACCTCAGAGAAAAGGGAGAATGACATTTAGGTCCTGAAGGAATTAATTAATGACAGTTCAGTCCTTGACAAAATTTTCTACAAAACAAATTAAAAATATCAATTCAAACAATTATAAATAAAAATTTTTATTACAATTTAAAAGTTATATTTGATATTTAAATACTAATTTGTAATTGAAACTTTTGAATTTGTAATAATTTAAAACGATATTTTTAATTTATTTTTCAAAAAAAATTTTGTCAGAAATTTAATTAGTATTAATTCATTGTTTTGAGACTTAATAGTTATTCTTCTAAAAAAAAATGCAATAAGCAGGACCTATACGGCTATGTCCATGGACATTTCAAAAAAGTTGACAAATATATTAGATAGGTATCTGCATGATATACATCCGGTACTTCAAAATACACAATATATTTTAAAAACTTCTATTATTGATTTTCTCCCCCTCTAAAATGTTCCAAAATAACTCAAAAACCTAGTTTTGTTATTAATATCTCCATATCACTCTTGAAATTCTGATTCATTACTCAAATATGTTTATATTGTTCATCTTTTATATGCTGACCTGTTAAATATATACATAATTACATATGTATATTTCCTGCATCCATATCCTAAACTTTAAGAACTTGTTGTACCCAGTGTATCTATTTTATCACCCAATGCGCAACCCGTATCTATGCATTATAGATGTCCATGCTTAAAATTACAAGGCCAATATATTCAACTTAAGTACAGCAGACATTTGGCACTAAAACAGATGCAAGTTGAGGAAAATTGATATCTGAAAGAGTAATGATGCATGCTCCGTCAGTCAAATCATGTAAACGGCGGTTAGCGATTACAATTTATGAATACTTGAGCACAACTACAACACAATTATAAACCAGTTAATAAATCCAGAATCTCTCTACGAGCTTTAACAATTCAAGAAGACGATACATGTTTCTAGTTTATAGAATTTAAGGAAATAACACCCGTTTGTTGGCAGTCGATATGATTGGAAACACGCAGTATTGACCCAAAAACACATACGAATGGTCGAGCATGTTTCGTTCAATTATACAATATTTGTAGTCCCAAAGTCAATTTTAGAGATTATATTCATAAATGCCAGTCAGAAGCTAACAATAAAGAGAGAGAAAAAAAAAAAACAGCCCCAAAAAGGACAGATTGAAAAGTGAAATTAAGGGATGTTTAAAACTGTTTTTATTTTATTATTTTAAAAATTAATATTTTATTAAATATATTTTAAAAATAAAAAAATAATAAAAGTAGGTATTTTTTTATCTCTCTTATTATTTAAAATAATAATTTCAAAATACTTGAAAATTATTTTTATTTTTTATTTTTTAAAATAATATTTTACTTTCTTTTTAAATACTTTTTGAAATCACGTTATAAAAAAATTTTTTTTATTTTTTCCTTCTGAAAAATAAAAAGCTGTTTCTAATTTACCAAACAGGCGCTAAATTTTGGAACTGATCAATATCTCAAACTCAAAAAACAAAGACGCAAAAACTGAAAAAATAAAAATGATATACCAACCCTTCACTGTAGTCCGCCTGCAGAAGATCCAGATAAGTATCCCATTTGTTTCCGATCACCTGCGGACAAAAATTGACTATCCAATTAATCGAAACCCTAAATCCTGCTCCGAGAAACCATAAAAGGTACAATCTTATATCTACCAACAGTGAAAAGAAGTGGTTTAATTGGCACATGGAGCTGCAGATGTAATTATTACCTTTCCGCAGGTGAAACAACGAACGGGAATGATCATCTTTCTCTATACACAGTGGCTCAATGCGTTGTCTCTGAGTCCGTTCTTCGTCACAAATTTCTCTGATTTATGTAATTTTTTTTATTTTCTCCATCTGAAAAATAAAAAGCTGTTTCTAATTTACCAAACAGGCGCTAAATTTTGGAACTGATCAATATCTCAAACTCAAAACAAAAACAAAGACGCATATACCAACCCTTCACTGTAGTCCGCCTGCAGAAGATCCAGATAAGTATCCCATTTGTTTCCGATCACCTGCGGACAAAAATTGACTATCCAATTAATCGAAACCCTAAATCCTGCTCCGAGAAACCATAAAAGGTACAATCTTATATCTACCAACAGTGAAAAGAACTGGTTTAATTGGCACATGGAGCTGCAGATGTAATTATTACCTTTCCGCAGGTGAAACAACGAACGGGAATGATCATCTTTCTCTATACACAGTGGCTCAATGCGTTGTCTCTGAGTCCGTTCTTCGTCACAAATTTCTCTGATTTACGTAGCCGGAGCAGATAAACCGAAGAAGGCATCGGATTCGGATGCGGGTAACTATATGACCAACTGACCCGTTTGAGGTAAGCCCTAAGGCTAAATTGATTTCCCGCATTTTTTTTATCCCCATTGTTGTTTTAATTTCATGTTTAAATAAACTATTTAACTTTTTTTAAAAGCATTGGCCAAAAACATATTTTTGAAAGTATATAATAATAAAATTAATTTTTATCCAAAAAAATTGAGAGTAATGTTAAAATTTATACACTATTACGCAAGCTGGCTTTTTATGTATATGTATATAGAACACAAAAGTGTCAAGTTTATAGGGTTGTTTGGATTCAAATATGGAATATAATTCTGTACAAAATTTTAATGTTTGCTTAACATAATGTATTATGCGTAATACCAATTAGAGTTAAACCATGTGGCCCGAAAAAATAAATAAAATTCCATTAATTTTGGTTCTAGTTTTATTTGTCAATATTGATTTTATGTTACATGAATAATTCAAAACAACTGATCAAACATAACTTGTCAACCTAAGTTATAAAACGAAGGGCTTGCCACCCTAGAGTACTTCTCTTCCTCCACTATTTTTTCGTTTTTTTTAACTTAAAAAGTGATCACTTGAAAAACGGGAAACTACAATAAAAGGACAATCAAGAGTAGAAAACGAAATATCTTAACTAAAACAAATTCAAGGCTCAAGACACCACAAGCATAAATCCATGTTTCCGTAATTAGTGCCAAGATCATTTTTTCGTACAATTCCTGAGTAAAAATTTAGATTTAACAAGACTTGATAAAAACCCAAAAGCATGAAAGTAAATGGACGATAAAGAGTAAACAAATATCACACATTAACTCAAAAATCTTCTCAAGTTTGAGCCTCACCACTTTGTTTATACATACTTATTAAGCTTAATTTCATTAGAGAGACTTTCCACATCAATCTAAATTACTTATACTTAAACAACCAAATCGTGAAAATACTCTATTCTTATAAAGTTCGAGAAAATGTCAAAAAAAAAAAAAAGGAATTATACTTTACACTAACTCTGAAAAGAGAGGAAGAAGAAAAGTAGGAAAAAAACTTTGCTAAAATCAAATTAGAAGGTCAAGTCCGGCAATACCCTTGAGTTTCCATTGACTTTTCACACTAATAACTAGTGCATGACACGTGCAGGAAGAAGAATTATTCCCTCAAATGATGAGCAAGTAAAGATGAAGCACTTGAATCGCTCAAGTTGCCACAAAGATGAATAATAACTAATATCTTGAGAAAGATTCTACGATCCCAAGTTCAAATGCTCTACGCCATGCACAAGAGTCCACCTAACTTTTGTTAGCACAGGTCGAAGGTGCAAGACAGACTAGCTGAGAGCAATAGAACATTATGTAACAAACGAAATTCCAAGTTTAGATTCTCCTTCTATTGTCAACTCTTGATCTCTTTGATGCGGGCTCAGCTTTTACATGCTCACCACTGGATCGAATCTGGATAGAAGATATCGTTATGTCATTAAATAATAAACAAACGATTTGACCAACAAATCATGCAGTAAATTCGTTACCTTATCAAGCTTCTCTCTCACCAACCTTACAGTTTGATTCATAGATTGAGAAGAAAAATAATCCTGAGTCAAGAACACATTAGGCCAAGTTAGTAGGTGGCGAGTAGCTTCTATCTTGCATGTAACATCTTGGTTAGTGATAATTATAAGTCCAATAACATGTAAAAGCATAATATCAGATCCTTAAATACAAGGCTTAACAGATTGATGGAATAAAGGTTCAGCACAACATAGGATGCAATTATGAACAACTAATTTCCACAAGTAAAATAGGGATAACTCAAAAATTAACCATACAAATAATGGTTCTACAGTGTAACTGTAGACATAGATTATTACCCATCAAGCTGAAAAATTTCCTTCTACCTTTCCAGGGGATAAAGTTAATAAAGCTAAGGAGCTCGAAAATTTTCAGAACATCACGACAAATAATTTCTTGTGCCCCTCATTTTATAAGTTTCACCTTGAAGCTAAGGTCAAGGCATGGATGTACGATAGAACAGTAACCAACCTCATTTGAGGAAACCGTTTTCAAAGGGGGATCAACCTCATTTGAGGAAACCGTTTTCAAAGGGGATTACCGCTCAGTGGTCTTCCTTCAAGTTCTCTAGAATCCCTACACAGTAAGGAAAAGAATCAATTGAATGTTGTGTTAGTTTAAACTCAGGTTTGGTACTACAAATCACCTTTTTTAGAATCTAAATGTTGAGGTAGGCAGCTGGTCTGTGAGGAGTTTGGAACAGCGTTGCTCTTCATGAGAGACAAAGTGCTCGAAGCTGTTGACTCTTTGGATCTTCCAGCTGCAATCATCATGGTAAATGCATGCATAAGTTGATAAAAAAATATTAAATAAAGCATTCATTAGAGAGGATTTGGACCCTCTAAATTTCTTAAAATATAAATAGGGCAGCAAAAAAATGTATCTGGAACCAACATTTAATGACACTAGTAGAGTCCACTATCAAGTGTTAGACCTCAAATGCTACGTCTATCTTCCTCTGAAACCCACACTATCAATTTCCATAAAAAGCTTAGAACATCCAACCAGTTAAAGGACTTCTGCGGCCATAATATAGGTATGAGCAGTACAAAAAAGTTAAATTTGAAATCATCTCCATTCCAGGATTAACTCACGATTTAATCGTGCTAAAACCTCCTTTCTTCTTCCCTCTAACTTATCCTTTGTGTCCAAGAGGCTCTCAAAATGGGGAGCATATGATACCTGCAGCCGATTCCCGAGGAAAAAAAATCATCCAATTTTCTTTTTGCAAACCTGAAAAGTTAAGATGGGTATTTAATCTTCTCAAAGATCCTACTAGTTTACTACTTCTTGCAAGTAACTAAAGATTGTCATAAAGTATACAGTTTCAGGAACCTGGCATTGCTGAAAAGGCGAAATTTTATCCAATAAACATCAGTGAATGGCTCACAGTCTTCTGCATCCATTGGTTTACATCTGAAGAACAAGAATATCAAGCAAACTACTACCATGGATAAGACTGAAGAACAAGAACGAATCAATGAAGGAGCAAAATCAGAAGGCAATAAACTTACTCCTCAACTTCTCCATAGGTTGAAAATAGCTTCAATAAATCATCCCCGCAGCCTAACGCTGGAACATTGTTAACAATCAAATATCTACAGCCCGGAAAAAATATCCAATCAAACTAAAAAATATAAGCAATTGATGTAAAGAGCTTGTCGTTTAATTGTACTTCGTAGAAAGAAAATGTCTTGAATTGCAAGGATAACAGAATCAATTTGATAGTTAAAGATTAAAAGATAAAAATCGAGACCAAGAAGAGAGAATTAGGAAGCACAAACTTACCTGGATTCATCAGAGACAGTGTAGACGCGAACTGCTGGGGGTTCATCCTTATAACGAGGCATGATCTTCTACAATTCCTATCCAGGATCAGAGAAAGATCAACTTTTTTTTTCCTTTCACGAGCTCCCTATGCCGCTCAATTACTCTGGCGTAATTTGCAGTAGCTTGCAGTGGAGATTGCGAGTGTAGATTCCAAAATCAGGGGTTTGACTGTTTTCGGAGGGCTGCAAAGAACAGAGAATAAGTGGCGGTGCGTCGTGCGAAGAGCGTTTGGAGGGCTGTGATGGCGGCGACGGTGATGGGGGAGGCCGAGAGAGAGACAAGGGCTGCCTCCAGAGCTCTCAGGGGGCACGTTTGTCTTCGGGAGTGGAAGTAACAAGAGTACTAGGGTTGATGAGGAGAATATTGATCAGGTTCGGGGAGGAAGAGGCCGGTGCCTTCATCTTACAAGGACAAACTTGTCTCGGTGAATGGCGCAGGCTTTCTGATGAAACACGATGAAATGATGATATTGTTCAGGGTTGGAAGGCTTACTTTACAAAAATGAATGAGAAGGAAGAAACAAAGGAAGGGGAAAGACGATCGGACTCTGACGAAGAAAGCGAAGGGATAAGCCTGGATGGATCAAATTATCCGAAGTTACAAGTACTCATCATGGTGCACATGATGGATGAATTCACTAGGGTTAAAGATCAATTTTATTCAAAGATTCTGTAAAGATTCACAAATGATCGTTAATTTAATTAAAATTAATTTTATTTTTAACTTTAAAAATTTAATCTTTCATACTCTTAATATTATTTTTTTATTAAGTGAGTTCTATATTTATTTTTTTAATATTTCATATTATCAAATATTTAATAGTGGGTTCCACAATTATTTTTTTTAATTTTTTTTTTGTCCCAATCTCTTCCCTCTTTGCTGTTGACCACATCCTCAACCCTTCCTTCCCAAATTTCCAATCCTTAAATCTGAACTCTCCATCCTCATTTGTTATCGCTTTTACTATTTCTTTCGCCTGCTCGTCATCAGTTGATGTTTTTATTACTTGTTCTTGTTTTCCTTCTTTTAGTTCTTCGTCCTCTTCTGGTTCTCTTCTTCATTGTTGTCTTCTAAATCATCTAGAGCACTCTCGTCCGGTATGAGATGTAATGTGAGATGGCCATTGTGTTGCTAGGAGTAGAGAATCTCTGGTCGATGTATTCTAACTTCGGTGAGCTTTAACCTATCGTCCTTCCTCTGAAAAAGAAACTCGACCGACCATTTAGGTTCAACAAGAAAGAAGGGGGTGAAAATGAACTCACCTTTTTTCTCATGGGATGACTGGTCCTTGTATAAATCTCAGCGTCTATATTCATCATTGTCCTCATCAAACAAGAATCTTTAGCGAGACGATTAATCTCAAGTCGATCCATCAAGCAGTCTTGGTGGTAGCTCTCAAAGCCAAGACTCTTGGTGCAAGATGCCAATCCATCAGCCATGAGGCCACCGACATCGTGACGCAAGGCTTTTTATGAACTATATAGGGTGGCTTCTTGACGATGATAAGGGCAATGGCCTTATGTGTGTTGCTAGTGGGCTCGTTAAGGTATGCCACGTAATGTCACCATCCACAAATTACACAAGTCATTCCTCCAACTGAGCAACCCTATTCTCACCATTATCGCAGTAGAAGTTGTTGTTGCTACCTTTTTGAATTCTTCAGGAATCTCCTCGTCACTTTCATTGTCATCTCAGCCTTGCTATCATCATCTTTTGGCTCATCGTCCAACCATATGCCTTCAAGTTTTACATCTCTAACACCAACTCACCCAATTCGATTGCTCCGACTACATAAAGCTCACCCAAGCTTTACATCTTCAAGTTTTATGTCATATCTAGCAAGCTCATCAAAAAGAGGTAGTGCAACTAGGTAAGTGTCATCGGTTTACTGGCGTTGCTTCTTAAATCAAAGAGAAAAGGAAGATGAAGAAGAGAAAGGGAGAGTATGTGGAGAAAGAGTAATTTTTCATACTATAAACTTAATAGAAAAATAACGTTAGGGTACGAAAGATCAAATTTTTAAAGTTAAGGGATAAAATTACCCTCAAGTTGAGTTTAAGGTCATTTGTAAACCTTCGTGTATACTTTAAGGGGAAAATGACCCTTAACCCATTCACTTATTGTAAATTGCCTGGTGCAACCAAGCCGAAATGGGTATTGAGATCGAGTTAATAGGATGTGGAAGCCACAGGGAGCAATAAAGATCATTCCCTTAATTAATGGGTATTATATTGTGTCGTTTACTACCAAGGAAGATAAGGATTATGCACTCATTAAATGACCTTGGATGATTGATGACCCACTTATTGCTTGTCCACCGTGGCATCCTAACTTTAATCTATGGAATGCAGACTTATAGTAAAGGATCACTTTGGATTCCTATACCGGACTTACCAATGGAATTATACAATGCAGAGTCTCTTTGAAGCATAGGGAATATGGTTGGGAAGACTATAAAGGTTGATTGGTCAACGTCAATATATGATAAAGGAGGCTTTGCTAGGATTTGCATGGAGATTGATCTGCATAAACCTTTAACCTTTTTTCAAAGCTGTGTAGGAAGAATTGAGGGATTGTTATAAGGGATTACACCTTGTTTGCTTCTATTATGGTAAGTTTGGTCACTCAAAGAAGCAATGCCCTGACTAAAAAGAGGATGTTGTTGGCTAATGGTGAGAACGGAGAAGGCATGGAGGAAGGATGAAGGAAATGACTAAGGTTTTGATAGAGGTTTGTAGTTAGTTATGGGGGTGGTAGACGATGGCTCTAGTGATCAGAGTAACGCAAAACAGAGGCTAGGATCCTAGATGATTACTACGTGTGATTTCGAGGGTAATAGTAATAAGGTGGATACTCAGGGATTAGGGAAAGGATCATAGTCAAAAATCAACACATGACTTTATATGGGAATAAACATCAAGATCATTGAAGTTTGGAAAGTAGAGAGGTTAAAAACAACACATGTGGAAATAATGGAAAGAGGGACAATCATGGGATTTCAGTAGGGTCAAGTGACCAGGTCAAACATAAGTTCGGGAAGGAAATTAAACACATGGATAATGATTGGACTCTAGTAGGATTAAAACGTAAGATAGAGTACAGCCTAAGAAACGTGGGAAAGAGAACCACCCATCTAGCTTGGGCCAGTAAAACGAGGAGGTAATGTAAATGATACAAAAGCCTACTACCATATGGAATACTTTTATTGTTCTCTAATACCAGGTGAGCTTGGATAGTATAGTTGGGCAGGCTAAAGTGAGTGGTCGTGAGCAGGATGACTCAAGACTCCTTATGATGCCACATGCAGATAATTTCATAAATAAGGATGATGTCATGCAAGGTGTAACTGGGAATGCTCGGGTTGTGGATATGGTCGAGGTGAAAGATAGTAAACACTACGCTTCTCCTATAATTTCTTTATGAAATTCATGATCTGGAATTCAAGAGGTACAAGGGCTATAGCCTTTCTCTACTTGATTCAAGATTTAAAGAAACATTATCATCTTGATTTTCTCACCCTTTTGGAAACAAGATGTGATAAGCTAAAAACTAATAAGCAAATAGAGAAAATGGGCTTTAGTTTTGCTGAGGTTATTGATGCCGAGGGTATAGTGGTGGAATTTGATGTACGTGAGAGGCTTCCATTGAGAGGGTGACTGTGATAGAAAGAAATCCTCAATTCATGTATCTTAAAGTGGAGTCTTCAAGGGAAGAAAAATGGTTCCTCACTATAATTTATACTAGTCTTAAATTCCACTCTTCACCGTTCTCTTTGGAACGAGCTCACTCGAATTGGTAGCACTATGTCTGGAGCATGAGTGTTAGGAGGAGATTTCAACACTACTCTTTTTCATGATGAATGCAAGTCGTCAGCTCCCTATAGGATTTCTAATAACCAGGAGTTCTTGTACTAGTTTGAGTGTAACAATCCAATAGATGCTGGTTTCAAGGGCCACAGTTTACTTGGCAACATAGTTTGATGGAAGCTAGATTGGATAGGGTCTTGTATAATGAACACTGGAGAACCTTGTTTCCTAATGCAAACCCATCTTTTCAAGCCTTAAATCTGACCATAAACGGCTGCTTTTATGACTTGGCAACCAGCTTATGTCTGCACAACAAAAAAATCATCCTTTTTGGTTCATTGCGTCATGGGTGCTTCATGAAAGATTTGGTGACTTTGTGTTAAACTAGTAGCAATATGAGCTTGAATGGAATGCGAAGGTGGAGTCTTTTATGATTGCATGCTCTGCTTGGAACATGAATATTTTTGGCCACACAGATACGAGGAAACACAAAATATTAAGGTGACTTAATGGTATTAATAAAGTCATTGTGAGGGGTGAGGATGCTCGTAACTTTGAGGAGTTACAACTTAAGCTATGGCAAGACCTAGAAGATGTTCTCACTCAAGAGTCATTGGTATGGGCACAAAAAGCTAAATTAAAATGGTCAATATATGGTGATCACAATACTAAATATTTTCACACTTGTGCTAACGGGAGGTGAAAAATGAATAAAATTGTATGTATTTGTGATGAGGATAGAAATTGATTGTATGACACGAAGGCTATTAAATGTTTGGCAACATAATATTTCTCTAGTTTGTTTTTAGGACGAGAACATTGCCAAACCAAGCTTTAAATGTACTATCATATTTCCTGAGGTTGATATGCTGTACTTGCAACAATATGGAAGAGGGGCTGTAACATCCTTAAATTTTAAATCAGATTAACTAAGCTTGAAGTAGATTAATTAAGTTGTTAGAGAGATGTGTGGTAAAAGAGGTCTAACGGGTATGTTTGGTTGTGTTTTCAACCCTAAACGTGGGTTCGAAGGAAGTGAAGTTACCCGAAAATGAAAAGAGGGAGAAATTTAAAGGGTAAGGCTCTGTGCCTACGCCGCGGCTCGTGGATTAGGCCGTCGCAACATATGGTCACTTTCTTATTGAAATATAATCACAAAATGAAGTAGAAGAAGAGAGAAAAATAAAGAGATACGAGAGAGCAACGAAAATGATCTGCTAGGGCTTGAGGAATCTGAGTATTGGAAGTATTTTGGAGCTCATAAACATTAAAAGTAAGCTTCTTACACCAAAATCTTCCTACCTTCTTCCATTTTTCTTAATGATGGAAGTTAGGGTTTGGTTGATAATGATAATGTTTAGTCCATATAGGCTATGGTTTTGAACTTATTGATTTAAATACAGTTAATGGGAGTAGATTGACCTAATGAAACTTGATATTTATGGATTTATGGTTATTGGTGGTTGGAGAGCATTTAATATGAGAAATTTCCCATAAATATGTTAGTTGAGGACGATATGATTCCATTAGTGGCCAGTAAAGAGCTCAATAATGTTAATAAAAGTTAGAAGAAGGTAAGAAATCCTATGGTATTTTTATAGGAGTAAAGAATGAATTTTGAGAGTGAAGAAGTGATGAGTTAATAGTTAAAAAATAGCCCAAATGCAGATATTAATGAATTGCATTTTTAATGTTTGTAGAGTGACTATTTTTGGCATCATTTAAGCTTCTTGGAAGCTTTGAGAGTGAGTATTTGAGGGGAAGAACCTTTGACCTCTCAAAAGTTTGAGATAACT